ACTTTAATCCTCTATATGGTGATTAAAAGAAGAAAACAAATAAACAAATAAAATTGCTTCTGCAAATTCAAAGTCTGTTCATAAATATTGATAGTTCATGCCATGGAAAAAAAAAGAGGAAAAAAAATACAATAAAAGATGGCACTGTGATTGAAACCTGTCTCAAAAATTTGGGACACCTGTTTCTTAACGTGCATGGTTGCATGGTCATCATATTAAGATTGGAAATTCAATGGAAGTTAAGTTACACATTATCCTGTGTACGATTTTTAATTTAAAAAAAAAATATATATATAAGAATATGCATTTCTAATGTTGAAGAGGAAAGTTGCCATTTTTTCCTTTTTTTGGGGGGGGGGGGGGGGGGCTCATTTCTTTGCAAGCCTACATAATTGTTTTTCAATTGATTTCAAATTCAAGAACATTTTATGCATACTTTTTAAAAGTTATCTATGATATATTACTGCGACTATTTGGCATGTCATTGTAAAATGTTGAAATGGTAACTGTATGTGTTCTCTTGTATCTTGCAGGTGTCTAGCCTTGCAGGTCATGAAGATGCTGTCCATGCCGTCATGTTTGACAGGGCTGGTGACTTCCTGGTCTCGGGAGGTGCAGATAACACTGTCAGGATCTGGTCCTGATCTGGTCCTGTTTCTAATCTAAGACTTGGTCCAGTTCCTGCTTTCCATCTATATCTGCCCATGCATGCTTAGGAAGATTATATATTGTTAAATCTATTCATTTTTAACAGCATTATGCTTGTTGATGTTGTAATAACTAAGTTTATATACTGCCCTCTTCTTACTATTCTCTACATGGAAGCAGGCACAGTTGCATGCATCTTTGACACTGGAAATGTCTGATAGAGTGAAATTTGTTAGCGCTACCAATGCCAAGAAGACTGACACTTAATTAGACCATATTTCTTCGGAGATAAGATTGTAATGCTTTAGATTAGGCAGTATGTCAAGTTACATGTATTTGCCTGTATTCAAAGAATTTGGTATGTTTGATAGTTGAAGACAATGCTATGACAAGACCACTGTCGTTGCCAGTTTGCAACAGCATTTCAAGTACTACCAATTGGCAAAAGCCTGATAATACAAAAGTGATATAATACAGATACCAGAATCAGAATTACAGAGGCACTCATATTTTTCTTCTTCATAATTTCATTGATCCCACTTATAAATCCCGGTTTTAATAATGTTTTGTCAAAGTGTACATTTTTCAATATCATTTATTTTTGTGATATATTGTAATTGTTGTTAAATCATATTTTTACTAAAACAACTTAAAAAAAAAAACTAAATAAAGCAATGGGAAGAAATACAAACAAATTGCTAGAATCAGCCGGATATTCAGAGTGGTAGGGAATGAAAAATCAGACCCTTTGTTTCATCTATTATAAACCCCAAAGGCTGGTTTAAGTGTAAAATGATACAAGTTAATGCTCTTTTCCCTGTCAGAAGACAATATGTTCTTTAGGTTATTCTTTATGACCAAGTTTTGTATCTTATATTTACATATACATGTAATTCCCATGTATAGAATGATTCATATTTATGACCTTGTGTGTCTTATGCAATGTTTGAATGTTTCCATTATTGTACATATTCAAGAAATTAAAAAGAAACATTGAATGGACATGTCTTTTTGTTTGAAATAGACTTTCTTTATTTTCTAAAAAACATTCATAAAATATATCAAGTTATGGCATATTCTGGATACAGTATTGTGTATTTGATATAGGGTACATCATACAGTGCACTATAAAGCAATGAGAATTAGTGCTTAAACATCATTGAATTAAATGTAAAAAGTAGAAATACATATCCAATTTAATAGAGAAGACATAAGTTTAATTCAAGATCGTGGAAATGATCAGGCCTGATAAAAACCCGATTTAAATCGGTTTCCGGATTTTTTTTATTTTTCCCGATTTTTTCCCGATTTTTTTTTTTCTTCCCGATTTAAAAAAAGTCCAGATATTTTTTTTTTTTACAATTTTTTTACAATTTTTGTTTTTTCCCTATTTTCCCGATTCCCTTCTTATTTTCTCTATTCTTCCCTATTTTGCGCTATTTTTTTCCCAATTTTCCCAATTTTGTCCCAATTTTCTTACTCGAAAGGGGAGAATGTTGTTAGATGCCATTTTCCCCCGCGAATCCTCTTTTTTTTTTTTACTCAAGGGGGGCGTGGTTGAGGGGAAAACAAAAAACCTGTTTTTTTTTAGAGCTCACTATCACCCCAAATGTTACTTGATAATTATAAATTACCCATAAGTTCTAAACAGCTACAAAGACTGAAATGGAATAAGCAAGCTTAATAGAGATAGATATCAATTACTGCTTATTTTCTTTTTATTTCAGTTTTAAAACTCGTACAAATTTATTTCCCCACTTCCAGCTAGAGATGTGTTTTTTCCCCGTTATTTTAGTCACAAAAAAGGACATTTAGTAGCCTTATATTAATTTCAAGATAAAGTTAAAGCAGTGGCAGATTTAGATTCAGGGATGGGGGCACCCCTCCTTTTTGTGCAATGTGATCGGCATACCTTAAGTATGCAGCAAAATTGTTTACTATTCTAAAGGCTCTAGTATAGTAAGAAAACAACATAACGCAATGTCCCCATATACAATGCAAACCCCAAAACAAAACAAGAAACAGAACAAAAAGAAGAAGAATGATAGGGCTATTCTTAATTAAAGCACATTTGACTTCAAAATAATGAATCTGTACCCGAGTGATTTCCATTTGGTACTTCCACCTCCCCCCTCCCCCCTCCCCCTCTTTCTCTCTCTCTCTCTCTCTCTCTCTCTCTCTCTCTCTCTCTTTCTACTCATTTATCTCTCTCTCTTTCCCTCCCTATGTTCATACCCCATCTTTCATCACCTCTTTCTCTCTCTCTCTCTCTCTCTCTCTCTCTCACACAAACACACACGCGCGCACACCCACACGGGCTTCGTAGTGATCATAATTTTGAAAATACATGGAGCCCTGTATCATTTTTCGAAATTACTTACTTTCGGAATAACAAAACCTATTTCATTTTCCGAATTTATGAACCCCAACGGGAAATTTGTGTTGCGGAATTATGAATCATCAGCAATAATTTAAAGTGGTACAATTTTAAAACATCCCGAAGGTTACAGCAGAAGAACCTGTCCCTAACCAAGTTGTGATCAGACAAGGCACTGAGCGAAAATTTGGTTGGAGCTATTATCAAAATTATTTGTTCTAATTGCTACTCTTTCCCCCGTAACTTGGTATTCTCTTTATGACTATTGCACTTCGGCGATTGTACATCTTCAAGAGAATATTGATTGTCCAAAGATTGAAGTAAAAATAAATCACCCGCAAGCCTACTGTATAAAATAATCTAGCTTTCAAAATGTTGAAATAAATAAATGTATACATGTAATTCCATGTCAGTGTTGAGCAAAATATAATTTTAGTTGATAACAATCAATTAGCTATTTTCATGTTGATTGATGAAAGATAATGCGGAGTTAAAGATTGAAAAAATTTAAAAGAAATTTACATGTAGATGCATGTAAATGTACAATTTTGTGTGCATATGTACATTACTTTAAATAATGCGCATTACCGTATTACCATACTAAGAGAAAAAAATACGACTCTTGTCTGACATGACATGTTCATAAACACATTAAAACATTCTATTGACTTTCAGGAATCATATAACTTTCTTGTAAATCATCTTTTATTGGCCATTAAAGGGGAAATAACAAGCCTATGTCAACTGTTTTAAACACATAGAGTACTGGTTGACATACCAATATAATCTCTTCATTTCTACATAACATGAAATTAACATGATATGGTCATAAATGTAAGCTTACAATATTAAACACTTCCGATCGATAATAAACTCAAAACTGGAAATATAAGCGGCTTCCAAAATATTCATATAAGAGTTTATAAAAGTTGAATAAGCAATTGTACAAGCTGTGAAATTGCGATGGATTAAGAAAGTAAAAACCAGAACATGAATTGTACATGAAGTCTTACGTGCCATATTACCAAAACAAAATTATGTCCTTTATGCCCAGTAAACTAAAATTAAAAAAAGTTGACTAACAATTAATTCTACCAGTACTGGTGTGGACATTGAACTAATAAAAAATGATATTATGTTGCTGGTTATATCATAGAATATAAGACACTGTGAAATTGTACATACATTAATAAGTACAGTTAAAGTTCGTTCACATATTATGTGAACCACGCTTTAAGTGGACGCAAACATTTTTACAAAACAAAACTTAGAAAGAATTGCCAGTTACAGACAAATGCCATTACAAATTTCGATCATGGCGAAATGCTCCATAACCATAGGCAACATAAGTGTTTTTTAAAGTGATAATGTAAAGTAATGTTTGAGAATGGAGTGCGATTCCATTTCCTAAACAAATATTCCTATAACATAAGTAATTTGTAGTTTCCATATTATATAGTTCTGAACATCATTTGACATTTTGAAGCAACCGCAGTATAGCTTTAACCAGGCATTTAATCTTATTTTTGTGTTCTTGTATCTTAACAGTTACTGGATAACAAATGAACTGTGCTTTGATTGAACTCCAATATAATGAGTTTATAACTTCTTACGACTAGCCTACTAAAATTGAAATTCCAAAGAGATCATACAATACAATTTCGATACAATTGTAAGTACGGATTGAGCCATGGGTGATTCTTCCTCTTGTAAGTCTATATAAATTAGCCTCATTGAATAACATACGTCAGTTGTTCAGGAAAATAGGACTTTTGGAAGAGGTATGAACTATATTTGATTTTCTGAAGTGGGGAATCAATGGAGGGAGTGTCTGGGGGTATACACACTCATCCCAACCACCGCTGTTACATCGTATGTCGCTAAAATGGTTGAGGAAAAATAAATCCTGCAAGAAACCCCTTTGATTCCATTAGTGTGATGATGATGTTGATGGTGATGATGACTCTTCTCTACATGTTTCCTTCTATAGAGCTCTCATTAACCACTCGGTGATCGAGTCCTCATACTTCTCCATCCATTGGATGTTGATCTTGATGGTCTCGGTTCCTTGCTCGTAAGTCCTCGTCGCAGGACCGAAATCCCTCCCCTCACCGAACGCTATCCACTGGACAATCCCGATGAAGTTTGTAGAAAAAAGAGGAAAGAGGGGGAAATTTAACACAGCACAAAACTTACGGGATTACAGCTTCTTTTCACACAAAAATCACGAAGACTTTCATGAAATCGACCATGGGTAATACCAGTAACCTTGTCAGTCACCAGCTGAAATGTGTGAACATTACAATGACATACTCTGCCACCCGGGCGTGGCACGTTCGCCCTCCCCACGGCCCCCTCCCCATGATACGCCGTTATGTGAATCATGGTCATCTTACCTCCTCTAAAAGTTGCTCGGTGTTGAAGTTTTGCGGCACAGCAGAAATAATGCTGGAGAAGGTGAATATACTGGTAGCAAATCTGAAAACAAAAGAATATGTACAGTTTTTATAGCATTATTCTTTCTTCATCAGTCTGCAATCAACACAACGATTCGGAAAACATATGGTTAGAGCTTAGAGATCAAATAGCTATAAAGCGTTAAACATTTTGTTACATCTTCTAAATGTGTTGGGTTCAAATGCACTTCATTATTGGTAGACCCCGAGTAATTTATTTCTCTAGGGTTGCTACTCGTTACCCTAACAGACCCAGATAGCTATCTATATACATGTAATTGTTTTGTAAAACAGTATCACGCATCAAATGGCGGATCTAGGGGGCGAGGGCACGGGGGGCCCGGGCCCCCTCCCCTTGGCGCAAGGGGGGGGGGGGGGGGGGGGGGTGTTGATTCGGCGCTTAATATTTTATTAGTGCTCCTAATAATCATAAAAATTATGATTAATCATTTTTAGTGTCTAGGGTCAACTTACAAATCATAGATCTTGTCGTAATCGTTACGCAAGAAGTCCCACACGAGATCAATACCGATGTGGTTGTTGCCCACGGCTGACAGTACGGACGAGACGTCCTGGCTTCGAACCTGGGTGTCTTCTGCCACCGTATACATCAGGTACCTGATTGATTGATTGATTGATTGATTGATTGTGATTGAATTGTTAAATGGTATGCATTAAAACCACATGGCAGCTCACCAACTGAATCACATTGGATATACATCATGCAAAGTAATACAAGGTGGAAATAAAACATAATTTTGGTATATACATTCATAATTTACAAACATATCATACCCAATTTGTAGCAAAATAAACAAATAGATGTACTAAAGAGAGAGAGGTGGGATAAAGGAAGGGGAAGAAAGAGAGAAGTGTATGGAGAGAGAGAGAGTGAGAGAGAGAGAGAGAGAGAGAGAGAGAGAGAGGGGGGGAGAGAGAGAGAGAGAGAGAGGGGGGGGGGGGGAGAAAGAAAGAAAGAGAAAGAAGGTAGTTAGGTGTAGGGAGGGAGTTATGAAGTTGAGGAGTAGCGATTTAATAGGTTAGGTGAGTAATAACTTATGAAATCATGAAATGCGAGTATGAGGACTAGCTCATTATTGTATATTTATATTTATATAGCACTTGACGGAATGATTCGTCTGTTCAGAGCCAGAAGGGCATTAGCTCTATATTGACGTTCTCCTGGCTCCAAACAGACGAATTGTTCATACACGTCCCGGACATAATCTTAAACCAAATAAAGGTTTGGAATAATCTCTATCTCAGTTTTGTTCTTGTTATTGTAATTGTTGATTTCAAAAGTGGAATAAAACGAAAATTCAATTCATACACCAGAAGCAAATGTATTAAATATGTAAAAATTTAAACTCCATTTTATTTGAGATAATCCGAAGACTATTGAAATCGAAATTTCTAATAAAAAAGCGTTCAATACCATCAGCCAAATTTATTATGCAACAACATAAAGAAATGTTTGAAAAGAGAATATACACTTCCTTAAAACAAATATAATATCATATTTGGTAATAGTTTAATTCTAGCAAATCTCTTGCTCTTACCGGTTGAGAATCCAGGGTTGTCTAGAGCAACCAAGGGCCGACAGCCATTTTGATTTCTCTGAGGAATCGGAGGACGAGAGGTACTTGTTCCAGCCGAACTCCCACTCGGTCTGACCGCCATCACGGATACCGTTACAGTACACAGTGGTCTTGAGATTGTTGCTAATGCTGTATGAAGAATGGGTAAAGAGAGATGGTCAAAGGTGTGGGATAATAGTCTCGATAAAACACAAAAAAGCTCTACGTGTATAGAAGTCTTTTCTGATATTTTAGTAATGCGTACTTGATACTTGCTTTTGGTCTAATGTCCTCTTCGAGACAAAGAGGACAACTTTGAAAATGACGACAGCCACTGCTACTACTACCACTTCTACTGTTATCACTACTTTTATCCCTATTACTTCTGCTGCTACTGCTACTACTGCTATTGCTACTACTTCTAATTTACTCCTCCTCCTCCTTGTACGTACTATAAAGTATTGCACATATCCTTCCCCATCCTCCTTTCCCTCCCCCTCTCTCTCTCTCTCTCTCTCTTCGTCCCCTCTCCTTCTCTCCGTCCACTCCTCCTTCCCCTCCTCCTTACACTCCTTCCCTTCTACACCCCCTCCAGACTTACGGGTTGTTATCAGGATTTTGCATGTAATCTTGGTAGAGTTTGGAGGCTTGGTCCAGACAGTCTGTCACGCGGTAGTAGCACGCTACACGAATGGCGTTGTTTCGATTGTATCTAGCAGAATCAAATGATAAAACCACTTAATCACCATCAATGCAATGATATTTCCCATGGGAGCGATGGAAATAGAAAAAAAAAACACGAACCAGGATATTCCATTTTCTGCGATACCTCCAAACATGGCCAATATATAACCAAAATCGCATTTTTACCAATAGTGTAGAATACTGGTAATCGTGGTAGAATATCATTCTTAAAATACACCTTTTAAAACAGTCTTGAAAGTTTGGTTTCAAGGGTTATTGAGCAGTTTCAAGTGTCATGTACATGTTGCTGAATATCACAAACAGGTGAATATGAGCTACAGCATGTAGAGAGGGGTTAAAACCTTACCACCGAACCACTTGAAAACACGTGGCCGAAAAGGGTTGGTCCAAATCTGCCAAATGAAAGTTCGATTAGCTTTTCCCCGACTATATGTAAAATTAAGAGTCTTTCTTAAAGGCCCACTGCACTACTTGTAGCTACTTGCGCCCTCTATATAACAAACAATGCCTAATCGGTGACCATTGGTCCCCCATGATCCTCTTTTTCTTATGTTAACTGAGAGCTGAGTTGATGAGATAACCACCTGTTCAGTGACCTTGCAGGGCGCTCTAATCCCTCCTGTAAACTATGGTAGATAAGCTTTAAGACTCGTTAAGATATGAAGTGGTAAACCAAAGCATTTAAAAAATATTTTTTACAACTTGTATAAAATGAATGCCAAGTATGCGCAACAAAGGTCTAACGTGAATTTACTGATATATGATTTATGTTACAAGATGCAGTGATGTGAAGCATATTTAGCTTCGTTCAGATACGACGCGGCAGAACCGTGGCGGTTTTATTATAATTATTATTTATTTACGATTCTTTTTGGTGTGTGTGTGTGTGTGTGTGCGCGTGTGTGTGCTCTCACCTCAGCATTCTTGTGGGGTTTTATGTGCGCTTCACATACCCCTTGTGAGGCATTTTTACTTTGTGGGGTATTTTTTCAGGACCCCACAGAGTAAAGTCTTTCAAATGACTGTATATTCGGTGTCCTATGCCCTGCGGGGCATTAGAAGTGGTACCCCATAAATGACTTTTTGTGAGCGTGTGCTAAAACTTGCACACTTTTTTATGGTAACATCGTAAGCACACCGCCGGGTTGTTATCGCCAGGTTGTACATACCCCACTAGTAGGGGACCACAAGGTATATCTGGAACGCACAGAAATACCCCACAATCAGGTGCCCCACAAAGGCCCTGATGTGAGAATGTGTGTATGTGTGTGTGTGTGGAGGTGGTTTACCGCGTCAAAACTGAGCCTTTAACACCTACGTCTTCTTAAAAACAATACCCACCGCGGCTTACCGCGTCAAAGCTGAGCCTTTAACACCTACATCTTTATAAAAACAATACTCACCGCGGCTTACCGCGTCAAAGCTGAGCCTTTAACACCTACGTCTTCATAAAAACAAAACCCACCGCGGCTTACCGCGTCAAAGATGAGGCTTTAACACGTACGTCTTCATTAAAACAAAACCCACCGCGGTTTACCGCGTCATACCTGATAGAGGCTTTATGTTACAATATATACTTTGTCCAAAATTGTAATGGGGGCAGATAAAGGGAGAATTTAAAAAAATGCAGCTCTGGAAATATACTAACTGCTCAAGGACTTCGTCAGTGTCATTCCAGCCTAGAGAGTCGTAGAGAGGCTCCACCAAAGCTTGCATGTACAACTGAAAAAAGATTATAGTAGAATCATATTGTTACAATCATGGATAAAGACAACTTCATAAAGCGGCCTACTCATTATACACAAAGTGCCACTGTAGCTACTAGCTAGCTTCGACGATAATTGATCATTTCAATTTAAATAATACATGCAGTGAACCTTACACAATGTATATATATATATGGCCGGTAGACAACGAGGAGTCGAGCAATGTCCGGGAGCAATGTTCTCTACGCACTCACGCCAGTGTCATGGCGCCTATTTTCGGACAGATAGGAACCTCGCGCTAGGCTATCGCATCCCTGCGTCAAGGAGTTGCATAATATGTGCCGACGGACTCTGCCCAGGCATGTGCATTTATTATTGCCTTAACGTCCTTGAGTGATGCAATGGAAATAACGCTTTGTCATAATAATAAGCCCAAATAGCCATTTACAAAAGTTCCTGGCGGAACGCTGCAATAGCCATTGACGCAGTCTATGACGCACCAAATGAGAGCGACATCGAACCCGTTGTCCGGTAAATACCTATAACTGCCATTATATAGAGTCCCCACGAGAAATCACAATTAAGTATATCTAATATTGATAGTTCGGTAGTCTTCATATTAACCGTTAGAAAAAATAGTAATAATAATTAATATACATAAAAATCAGGAAAGTTTTATAATCTAAAAAGTATTGGGTAAAGGCCTGATTTTTGTCATTGTACATTCAAATAGAAATTATTAAAATGATAAAATAATACTTCTGCAGCATAAGGAACACTGCAAACACAGCGTTGGATCACCAGCGCATATACTAATTGCCAGCATTAGCTTGATTCGCGTTGGTTACAAAAACGCAATCGAAATGACACTTCGTTTGCACCCGGCTTATAGACATGGTGCAGTTCTGGTAAAATAGAAATATATTTGAGAACTTACATATTAGTTTATGTCTGCTTTAATAAAAGATTATCAAAGCAGAAATGTCTCCTGGAAAGGATTGCTCTTCAAATGCCCTCATATTCAAACTATAACAAGAAATAATTGACCATAACTCAACTTAATCTTAGAAGTGTCCATAAAATGAGTAGAGCGACTATATTGATAATGTCATGTGATGCTATCTTAAAGGAAAGTGATCATGGGTTCATACGAGATAAATAACGTCACAATGCATTAAAAACAGATAAGAAATGACGTCACACTGTACTGACTAAACATTACGGTTCTTACCTCTAGAGGGCCAAAGCCTCCACTGAGTCTGAACATGTTAGTGATGTAGGACATGTAGTCCAGTGTGGCCTCCCATGGCAGAAGATCCTTTTCGTTTCCAAGGTATCTAGTGAGATTTAGCGCGGTTTCCATGGAGATATTGCCAGTGCGGGCAAGGCTGAACGCGTCGTCAATCAGTTGAGCACGATTTTCGTTAGGGAAAACCTGTTAGAAAATGATAGAAAGGATAAAGCTATTTTCATATGCAGAAACAAGAGTTGGTTTTGACAAGTCTAGCTTTAATTGAGAAAGAGTTTCATTTTGGTTGAGTGTCGATTATATTTTTTTCATCAGATTTCACAAAAACTCTCTCCAAATTTAGAATTGAACATTAATATTTAAAGGTGTATTAAACTACTTATACTAAAAACGGCCAAAGTAATGCTTTGACTTATCTATGTTGATGACCGTCATCTATTCATAATTACGAAATTGTTCCACATGCCATTCGCTTGAAAACGGGTAAAGGCACTATACTACTACTGCTACTACTAATTACTACTACTGCTGCTGCTGCTACTTCTACTTCTACTACTACTATTACTTTCACTACAAGTACTACTTCTTCTTATTTTTAATCTTCTTGCTCATATTACTGCAACCCGAAAAACAATGGTAGGAGGAGGAATGTGATTTTTTTTTTGTCAATTTGAAGTTGAATAAAAGATAAGTAGGCATATAGGGCTAGCCTTCATACCTTGTGGTCAGTCATGAGTTGATCGGTCAACCTCATCCAGTTTTCATGATCATAGTTTACTCTGTAGAAGCCATACTGGTAAGTGTTCACCATGTACCAGTCATTTTCATCCACAGTATCTGCAAGCTCGAATTCGACTGAAGAATGAAATATAATTTAAAGAGTAACAATTTGACGAGAAATTAAACTTTTGCAGTGTTCTATTTTGAGTTCTGTAAAACTTGTCGTCTCTTGTTTTTTAAAAAAAATAATTTAAAAGTCAATCATTTTTAGTTGGGAGTGAATGCATGATGGTCAGAGAAAAAGGTTAAAGACATATTTTCGACAGTTTTCATGTACACTGATAGTTCGAATTACCACACGGGTGTTCAAATCTTGCACGCAGCGAAACTCGTGCCCCACCTAGAATTTGCAGTGGGATATGGGAAAGCGCACAACTATCGTTCCAATGTACATTTGCTTAAAAAGTGCGTGCAATAATTTTTTTGACCTGTCCGTCGTAAGAAATAAGTCCATTCTTAGTTATTGATAGCAACCATTCTCGGCCAAAATTGTGTCCGATTCCTCAGGAGTACCCCCGATTAAGTGTATGTTATATTGATATGTTTGGAAGTCTTCATATTCACCATTGGAGATATTAGCAATGCATGTATATATAATCATCAGAACAGGTCTATACGATATCTGTAACCGTAAATGTTTGGTAAAGTGTGATTTACAATATGCGCATTACGAGACAAATTAAACTAATAAATCTGTTATACTTACTAGAACGTTCTTTTTTCATCCAAGCTGAGTTTGGCATAATAAAGTTGTTGGTTGTCTTGTCCGTGTATTGGAGGTAAACTTGCCATAAGTACCTATGTAGGAGTGAATTATTCAAAGTTACATTCAGCAACAGCGTGTAGTTTAACAATGTAAATAACGTCATAAATATACCAACATCATTAATTTTTCTTTTCGCGCACTACATCATTACACAGGTTATCATGCGAAGTATTCTTGGTAGAAGAAAATGTCAAGTCAGTCTCATATCGGAGACAATTTCGCGACTGAAATTATGTCACTATTATTTGCAGCTGAAAGACCATAAATACACCGCAATTGCGATTCTACTACGCTCAAAATTAAAAAGGAATGTGCACCGCAGTGTGCGCAATAGTAATTGAATCCATAATTGACTGCGACAATAATAATAATAATAATTCTGTAAGCGCTTTGGTCATTTTAAGGTAAAGCGTTTTATTATTATAAGAAACAGGTATTGCTATCAGTATTTGTAGTTCATATAGCAATTACCCCTGATCTCCGTATTCCTGACTGACACCCTCAGATGGGTTAGAGAGATAGTGTTCCTGATAAGCCGTTACTGTTCTTTGACTTGTTCGTTCTAAGGTGACTAGAGGATAGCCCATCTGTAATGTCCAGGTGTCCATGATGGCTTTCACGTCGAGGCCACCGTCATCTTTGTCAGCCTTTAAAAGAAAGGAAAAAAAAACACAAAATAACCAAAACACAGAAATGGAATGTTTGCAACAAAAAATCAGATATTCTGAACAAAATCGCAAAGACTTTCGGAAAATCAACACCAGAGGCAATTTTGGGAGCCCTGTGGGAGCACTGTGATGTATTGGGGAACGTTCTTGACTCTCAAACGAATAGTCCTGTGTTCGATCCTTGCTGATTGATTGATTGATTGATTTTTATTCATGAAGATTCCAACATACAACAATATACAAGAATAACAGATCAAAATTAAGTCATCAACTATGCTAGGTACTTACATTCATGGACAAGGTATTTTTCCACATTTGCCCCTCTCAACCCACGTATAATTGGGTACCGGACAATGCTGGAGTAATAACGATTACGGGGTCCACACGAAGATTGATACTAATGTGGCAACCCTTGGTATAAAAGGCCAAATTACTATTCAATATTATTTCAACAGCCTTGTTTATCACCGATTGAATGTGTGAACGTGATTTCTATAGGTAGTACAGTAGAGAATTGAATTGCTCATGATTTGATTTCTCGAAATTCTTTGCAATCGTCTTTACGTAAAGATTAAAGCAAAGTCCCGCTATATGACTAGTACTCCGAACAGAAATTCGTCGTGTTGCCGCTAGCAGGACAAGAACATAAATGTTCGTCAACTTGTAAACTAGGATGATATTGCTAAACATTTCGGACATCCCTTTTATGCACATGAATGACTTTACCCCTATTTTTGTAGACCAACATTTTGTTGGTAGTAGACCCTTTAATCACCTGATTGGAGACAGGGTGTAAGTAGCCCATTTTGAGTGTAATATTGGGGTATATTTCGGATCAAATTCGCTGTCAAGTTAGGCTAGTATTTTTCAACAAGCGAAGCCCCCCACTCCTCCCCACAAAACATCTACACCAACAACAACCTTTAAAAAATAAATAAATAAACTCAGGCGATGCTCTTCCTTTTAACTTTATTCATGATTTGCCGTGATAGCAGCGTTTCCACTGACCTCCGTTAAGGCACTCCAAAGATCGTCCGAGTCAGCGTTGCCATAGGCATGTTCCTTAAGATAAGCTGTAAGGCCCCGTGTAAACACTTCCTCTGTCAGGATGTTATTCAGCATTCTCAGAATGGAACCACCCTTTATTTAAGAAGACAAAAAATAGAAATTCAAATAATATCCATTATGTGGATTATATAATTTATGCAATTCTTTAATTGCATATTTTGTTATAATACTTTTATTGCATATTTTGTTATAATACTTTCATTGCATATTTATTGTAACTCTTTAATTCAAGTGATTGTACTTTAGACACCAAGCAACTACTGTCTTAAAATCGACCTGAGGCAATTTCGATCACCATGTACGTTACCTTTGAAATATTACGTAATCCGTACATTATTTCTATGGGACATACAATATGTTTTTCAAATTTCCCTGGAGTTGATTTAACGAAAATAGCCGCGATCGTGTTTTTTATGTACTTATGATAGCTTTAATGGTGAAAATATAATTGATGATAATAGCAAAAGTTATGGTAATACTATGAATAATACTGATAATATCATTCTGATAACATTAGTATATATAAATGTCAAGACGCATTACGTTACCAAAAAATGTCTATGTTAATGTAAATCGTAATTATTCTGAAACGTATCACGTTATTATAGTGCCGATTTACTATACTGAGATAAAGCAAGTAATTCAAATGAAAGCTTAGCTTTATGCTCCGTTTTCAAAATCTTTTAATCTCTTCAAGATAAAATATATCGAGCAAAGCACGTAAGCGGCGTATACCCACCATAGCTAGCAGAAGAGTAGTAGTTGTCACACCTTCAAATTCAGGCAGCTCTAAATAGTGGTCTATATCATACAATTTCTATGGAAAGGACCTCCATGAATCTGACCAATGAACGAGAGGACGTGTCAGTGTTAGAGCTAACTCTCCTCTGCTAGCTTTGGTACCTTACCTCAGGGGTGTATGTGTCTTACCTTGTTGTAAGAAATCGAATCAAATATTTCATTGATTTCTGCCGGAGCACCTACGTCGACACGAACCGGGTGAGAAGTTCCCAAGGAATCGAGCTCAAAGACTGGTTCTAAGTCGTTAATTACGAACTGTTCCTTCTACAATCATTAAACAAGAAATGTCGTCACTTGAATGGCACCTGAACATTCAAAACTTCTCACATGACAAATTAAATTATTAAACATTACTTGTATGTTTTGTTCATTTGATTGTCCAGTGTGTATTCAAAGTCATAGATGCGCACTGTCCATGCACATCCTGGCATCGAGAGGTTCTTCTGTTTGTTTGCCTCGTTGATGCAATCGAAATCTTTCTATTTTTCTTTTAAACGTTATCGTATCTAAACGACCTCCGCGTAAGACACTTTTATAAATAAATTCACTGTTACGTACGATATACGTTTTCGAAGAAATAATTTAGAAGTTGCTTGACACTGAGCTACTTCCGCCTCACTAAAATAGAAGACGTACAAAAGTTATTTTTGAAAATCAGTAAACCCAACGTGATCGCAATTGTCCAATTTCTATTTTAATGTCAACATCAACTATTATGAGTAAAAATATATTTACCATGCCCCATGTGGGCTCTGTAAAGTCAACGCCGAGGTATTCGACGTAGCTTGCGAATCCCTCGTTGAGCCAAAGATCGTCCCACCATTTAGGAGTAACGAGATTACCGAACCACTAATGAATGAAAGAGGAAGGAAACAGCATATCATTATCCGCCTAGTCTGGCTGTCCAAATCAGTAGCAGACAATAACTATGACATTCTGAGGTAGATATCCCCTCTCAGTGCTTCATCAACCTCAGATTGCAACGATGTTTTTGTTTTGGTGTTGCACCTATTGTTAAGACGATCGCAAGAAATGCAGCAAAATCAAATCATAGGGGGTTTGCATATCCTATACATAGCAATCATATTTGGATTACGCAATACATTGTAATGTTCATTTATTTCATCAGGTGATGGATGAATTAGTCTATGGAAATATGGAAATATATGTTGATGGATTCTTCTACAGGGGAATCATGTATTCATTTTCTACATGCATGTGCCATGATTAAATTAATTTATAATCAATACAATTTTTTTTTTTTTTTTTTTTTTTTTTTTGGGGGGGGGGGGGGGATTGAAGTCATTTGGGCTTGAGGACCCCCCATGTCCCCTCTAATTCCGCTACTTTCGGAAATGCCAGTCAAATTACCTGATGAGCAAGTTCATGGGAAACCACGACGGCAACAGTCTGTTTGTTGCTGGCCGAGTTAACCTCAGGGTCGTACAACATGGCTGTCTCTCTGTAGATGATGAGGCCCCAATTCTCCATGGCCCCCGCTGCAAAGTCGGGCACTGCGATCATATCTGGAAAGACATATTCAGAACAATAGCAATAATAATGGTGGCTTCTAGACATGTAAGTAACGTTGTGGCATTCCTGGCGTTCCAACAGTAGGTCAAATCATAAAATTTATGTTATTTTTTCGTTCTCAGAATATCTTGTCTTTAGAACAGTTTCGTTTTACTTTTTCATGTGTACAAGTTTATGGATAGAAGGTGCAATGATGCTTTGGTTGAATTGAGGCAATGGCACACTGTTGGAGCCAGATGACGATTTTCATAAAATTGTCTAGGACATTCAACTGTAAGAATATTGTAAGAGATTGCTGTAGTGGTAACTATTACTACTTTACTTGTTGATGATTTTGAGAGTAGCTCATTATCAGATAGTCGTTATATTGATACCCCCTCTACCTCTCTTTTCCCTTTTATCTAAATACGGTATGTCTCTCGTTGTATCCGCAGATGGAATTATGCATTGTAATAGCTCCTTGTTAATACAAACCTTGCTTTTCTAGAGGAAATGGGATACCGAAATAGTCTTCGAAATAGGTGATGATCTCTGAGCCGGTTTCAAGTGCGTACCGGGTGTTGTTCACGGCCTCGGGTCGAGACCATGCACGGAACTAGTCATCAAAAGAAAAGGAAAGAAGAACAGCACGTGAAAATACATGAAGTATGATAAGACGGCTGCTGCCAATGAGACCTAAAGCCCATTGACCACGGCACATAATTATAAAGTTCAGGTGAGCGTTCTCACAACTTCTAAGGATTCACAAGATAGAATAATAGTTGTTAATATGATCATGTAATAACAAATTCGGGATTAGAAGAAATATCAATAGTGTACATGGAAATAATGGAGTCTGTGCAAAATTATATCTCTAAAGGAGCGATATGAAAAACAGAAAAGAGGTGCCAAATAATTGTATATGTAATTAAACATGGGAATAATGCTTACAACCAGCAAGGACACACCCCACATCCCCCCAATAAAAGAGAAAGAGAGAATAATGAATACAATAAGTTAAAAGGTGATAAGAGAAAAATCGCAGATTAAGACATTTCCTCGCTTTATCTATGTTTTTTTCTCACTTTTTCTGTTTATTTAATAAGCCTATAAAATTTCCAAATTGGATATGAATAAATCCCGTGGCATTAACTGGGTGTTATTTCATATGAAGAAAAAAAAAGGACTTTACTCGAACGCCGTTGGCGGTGATATTCTCCGTGTAGTCAAATGTGCCGACCGTAAAGGCGAGAAGATAGGTGGGCATTTTGGGGGTTGGAAGGTAGGTGGTCCTTGTCCATTCATCTGCTAAGTCTTCTTCTTTGATTTCAATACCGTTTGTAATGGCGGCCATGTAGGAGCGATGTTCAATAGTCGTGTTGAAGACAGCTCTGAAGGCGGGCTCGTCGAAACAAGGCAACGCCTTCCTCGCACTGGTAGGTTGCATCTGACTTGTAGCTCCCCAACTGGATAAGTCAGGGAAATACAACCATATAACTAAAAGACATCTATAACTGATTCATATTTATTATTATGATACCCTGAGCCACAGTTTTCTTATATAATCAATCAAAATGTGCCTTCTGGTGAAGTGGATAATGAGCTTTCTCGTTATATTCATATTATAGTGGTGGAACATCAAAGTAGAGATCTACCTTGACTAGGATTACTCTTCAGATTAATCATATTCGAAATATTTCCAAAACTTGCTAAAAGGCTTGGACTAAACTTTCCTGCCACATGTGTGTGAAATCCCATGTACCCACTTCTTGTGACGTCAGCAAGATTTAGTCATATTGTTTTGATTATTCCTAAACACCACAGCATACATTTATAATGAACCGATCCCCATTGCTTCTAGACAGTTTTTTCATTGCGTACATAGGTCAGTCAAATCCCAATATGTCTCCGTCTACATGTTTTTCGCTTAATTTTCCATCTTCGGCAGGTATGGGTTGCACAAAACAAGCACCTCGATTTTCTAAAGCCATGTGCCTTCTTCACTGTACTGCTCATCATCGTCCCTTTCCCTCTCTCTTCGGAAGTTGAATTATTTTTATGATTTACTAATATATCAGTTATCTTATTATAACAATTGTCAGGGGCGAGAATGGGTAAATTGCCCTCTCATTTGCCTACTTGAACAAATAACAATAGTAACTACAGCTTAGAGGGAAGTTTACGCTGCAAGTACACTAGCAGGGGCTACGATAATGAACGAAAATACAAATAAAACAGTTGATTGAAAAGTTAAAATAGATGCCTAGAATATTTCAATGTACATTTAATCCAGATATGGCATAATCTCGTACTACTGAAATATAACTACTTTTAGACAGTTAATCGAAAAAGTCTTGCGACACCAGCGTATTTCGAAACTGGTTTTTATATGTGTAAAAGCCAAGAAGAAACGCACACTGCCGTCGAAGAGAAAATCAAATATATGATGCACTTTCTCGTCAAATATTCTTTTTTCATATGTTAAAGAAATTATTGATCTTTCCCTTACTTATCCTACAGCGAGCCAAGGATATATAACCATGTTTTTTTTAAAGACCAAACTTAAATGCATACATAAATTATATTACATCTCTGAGTAGCGTCTGTTACGAAAGGTCAGCAAAACACAACAAAAAGAAATTGTACTTTGTCCTTATCTTTTGAAAGCAAATATAATTTTTGCTGTGTCAACTGCACACTCTCGACTTAAAAGTAGTAAAGCATTGGAACGTGACGTATAGACAAATTGCTACATGCTCGACATTATGATACAAATATGATACAACAATATAGTACTAATGACTGCTATGACATACATGGTTGTTTTTATACGCTCAAGGGGAGGTTACGTGATCGTGCTATCGCCCCGAGGCGTGCCGAGGGGTGATAGCACGATCATGTAACCTCACCGAGAGCCTACAAAAACAACTATGCCTCGAATATTAAAGAAATCATTATAACTTTTATAATTATACACTGCAAAAACCAGAGTGTTAAAATTAACATCAAGGGTGTTCAATTTAACACTTTATCGGACAACTCCTCTGGTGTTACTTAACACCATTTTCTGGAATTAGATAATTTCAATTCCACTTTTGGTGTTAATGTTTGACAACTCCTACTGGTGCAGATTAACACCAATATCTGGAATCATAAGAAATTCAATTCCACTCTTGGTGGTAATATTTGACAACTCCTACTGGTGTAGATTAACAACAATATCTGGAATCATAACAAATTCAATTCCACTTTTGGTGTTTATATTCTTGTTGATCCAATGGTCCTATATTCCATATTTCCTATTATCGACCAGGGTAGAAGAACCAGTGGTAAACTGATAATTCATAATCGATGTTGGCAACTGTCCACCAATAGGTATATTCTAATCTCCATTGCATTAACTCCATCACATAGATCATTTGAATTAATGTTTAGATTAACATTTACATAATACAGGCTGGTACACGAATATATAATAAATATGCATGTTGTTTCTTGGTTAGTAATCTTATAATCAATATATCTATTGCTAAAACGTTAATGTAATTGTAACAAGATCGGACGAATAATCTATTAGTTAATAATTGCTAAAGGAAAATACAAATCACAAAATTGATGTGCATTGTCATAATTTGCTTAAGAAATCATGATAAATGTATTCTTCTGTGAACACGTGTAAAGTAATCATTAAGCGCGCGTACACTTTGTGAAAACTTATTTGACCAATCAATCACCTTAAACGAAATCACGTGATGATACTTTCAACACCGAGCATAAAACAACACCATGTTACTTAACACCAAGTAATTATTAATGCATGCTTAAATCTGACCGGTGTTAAAACTAACACCAATGGTGTCAAAAAAATTCAATACCATACTGGTGTTAGAAATTTAACACCCTGGTTTTTGCAGTGTACCGAAAAGGGTCATATAATACTTGTGCGACTTACCAATCATGGTAATCAAGTTTGTTTACGCTATCGTCAGCCTTTTCACACACAGCTAAAATTCATCGTATCTAGAGATGATTAGAATCACTCAACAGTTTTAAACATGTTTATAGACAAAATTTCCCAGTGTGAACATCGTTTATACGATGTTGGGATAGATACGAAGTCGCGATCCATACGCCCCTAAAAGCAGGCTGCAGATAGGAAGTTCGTATCTAGAGAGCTTGACATTTTGTGTGTAAAAGGAAATTCGTGTTTAAACGTGTTTAAACTGGATGGAGCGTGCGCTTTGATTGATATGACATGACCTTCAATGCGCAATGGCACTACTGCGCATTTTACGAGCAGTAGTTAATCACGAAACTATTAACGATCGCAACGAAATTTCTGTGTGTGAAAGGCTCGTGATTAATTTAAACACGTTCGAAACACGTTTATACTAGTCATGTTTATAGAATTTTAGCTGTGTGTGAAAAGGCTGCGTGACATATAGTATCTGGTCGCGCACCACTCGAGTTTGTGTGCTAAAATCCTTCCCATTGAGATTGCACGCATATACGTAAAATGCAAAAAAGTATTTTTTCAAAAGACCGGTTTTGGCATTTTGCGGGAATGGCTAGAAAGCACGACTCCAATTTCGACTAATCAGATGGCTAGATTTCTAAAGTGAGGTATATAATATTATATATTATATTCCACATACTAATAATCTTGCTCTACGATTGGTCAAAAGAAGATAGAAGTACTATCTACACAGTGCAACGCACTTTAATTGTATACGTTGCGCATTGCTCTCCTCTTTAAGCGCTTTTAGTGTTAGTACGCGAACTTTGATCACGCGCGAACTATGGTCACACCACCATACTGCATACACTGTACGTTTCGTACACCGTTTGCTAGCTGTTAGTTGATGACTTGTTGCTCTGAAATGACGGAAGAAGTGAAATGTTTCCGATGTGGAATATTAAGCAAATAATCACCTTTTGGTTTCAGACGATGGCAAACTATCACTTCCTCGGCGGTCTGAATGTATACGCTATCTTTCCTCAGCTTTGCTTCGGAAAGATAGCTACATCCAGATCGCCTCGAAAGTGATAGTTTGTCCCATCACCTTCACCAACGGTAATTATTTGCTTACTATTATTAAAATTTTCGCAAATAAGCGGGTGGACAATACAATCTTTATTGTTCTAATTAGTATTTGTAATCTAAATCATCTTTGAATTTAACCAATGATATCTACTTTCTCAAGTGAGTGGATTATAGTTACACATTGTTTGGTTTTATAGTGAACAAAGTAAACGACCAACACATCAATTGAGGTAAACGCGATACTTCCTAAGTCACGTTTAACGATTGGGAAACTTAGATTTCAGTCTAACTTCCCTTTTTACCTCTTATTCAGACCGTTCTTAAACCCCCAGAGTTGGGATTAGTACCCTATACTATATGTTTAAAATGATCTCATACAGTAGACATAGGGTTTGCTGGAAATACTTTAAAATATGAATTCCTCTACACTGAAAAAAATATCTGTGGCCCTTCCAACATAAAAGATGTCTTGGCAAACATCGAAGGCTAGATACTTTATTCTTTACACTACATCATATTGTGGAGGTGAACCCATTTGAATGAACTTCTTCATTAATTTTATCTCAAATCTGTAAATGTTTGAACTGCCATCATTATTCGTTGGTCGTAAATGTTGCAATAAGAGCGTTTCGCTAGTCATGAAGTTTCGCTTAGAGCATTTATCGTTGATCAATCGATTAAAACTTTAAAAGGGATATTTATGGCCTATTCCCGTCAGAGATAAACTTGACTTTTGATTTCGTGATAAGACAACATGGAAAACAGCTGTCACGTGTTTTGTATTAAAACGAGAATGACGTCATAGTTCAAGTAGTCCATCAAAGGGGCGGGTATACGTGTTTTTTTTATAAAGAAAAGTGTGAGGGGGGGGGGGCAAATTCAGAAAGATCTAAACAAGCAAAACAACTACTCCCCCCCCCCCAACAAAAAAAAAAAATTAAAAAAAATCAAGTTTCTAGGTGATGATGATTTAACACAAAAAACCCATGGTTGAGGGTAGAAAAAAAACATAATAAAAAAAAAATCAAATACATAAAGGGGTTAATTAGGTTATCAAAATGTTGGTTGCCTTTGAACGAAAAAAAGGGGGGGGGGGAATTGAAGGTATGCCCCATATGCTTACAAAAGAGACCACGGATCGTTTGTGCTCCCTAAATCCTCCAACGATCGTTTCAACAAAATGAACCAAGAACCATTTGCATGTCTAACATCGTTCCCCTACAATAAACTATTATACTCGTTCGTTCGTGTCTCCTTAGATCAAGATTACTGTAATCTTGATCTTCGGAGTAGTTGCTACAACCGGCCGTGTCAGACACGTTGCCCCGGGGTGCGAGATAGGACTCTTGTAGCGTGCCCCCATTTAAAACAATTATACAGTTACAGTTAACAATACATTTAATTAATAGTATGAAACTATTAAAATTACTCTCATGTTACGGGAAAAAATATTGCATAATATACATATATTATGAATCAATTGATTTGGTCGATCCAGTTAGATGGCACAAACACGGCACGACACTATTATACTAATATATTGATATTGATTATGAATTATCTTATATATTTCTAAGTGACTGATAAATATGATACACGCACTTTAAATAGTGTTTTCATTTAATCTTTGAAAACGACCTTGAAGTAGTGAAATTCATAGTTGATTAGTGTCTTCATAAAATGAAAAGAGTTGGTTTATAATGGCAATTCGCAATCGCAATTCCCAATGTAAATGTAACATTTTAATATAAATAAGTAAGATATTATGTTTTTACAATTCTATAGATATCAGACAGGGCCCGTCTTGACAATGTTAAAATGAAGATGTAATATTGTGCAGTTATATTTTACTCTCTCTCACTCTCTCTCTCTCTCTCTCTCTCGCTCTCTTTCTCTCTCTCTCTCTCTGTCTCCACCCCCCATTCTCTCTTCTCTGAGTCTCTCTAACTACTTATATCTGTCTCTCAGAGAGATTCTGTTCTAATTCCCTAAAACCTCGTGAAAATTGAAGCAAATTGGATGGAGACACTTTATTCTTCATGCAAAATGCTGTTAAATCCGAAGATAAACAATCAAATGTTGGTGTATTTGGTGTACACTCGTAGGTGGCAAAAAAGTACTACATCAATTTAATCTATCCTAAACATAATCCCATTTGGAAGTCACCGTATACGGTGTTAAAAAAAGGTCGTTTTACTTTGCAAAGAATGACCGAAAAGGTTGATGAGTGGATTAGCATTATATAGATGTAGCCTAGTAGTGATGGAGATAAATACTTTCTAAACTCAGCTGATCGAGTGCAATTCAATCATCAAAATAGACAGACAGAAAAAGAGGAGCCACTTTGCTTTGAAATGTGACAGCCTTAAATGAGTACAAGTCAAATACAGCAAAATAATTATGTGCCCTGGTTCAGAGTCGTAATGTATCAAGACGAAAATCACTAATTTGAGAGTGAGAGATATAGTTAGAGGGAAATGGGGAAGGAACATGGATAGAGAGAGAGAGAGAGATAGTTTACTTACACAATTGTCCCATCTTCGGTCAAATAACTAGTGCGGTAGAATCCTGACAGTCCAGCATTCAGCTGACCGAGATAATCGATTTCGATGTCATATACCCCATCGACGACGAGTTCGTCATTGAGCTCAATGTGGAGGAATTCGTACTCTTTTTCTTCCAAATCACTCTCATACATATCGACTGTATCGCCCACCATGAAGACCTTGATGGTATGGATGGTGATATCCACAGCATGCAGAGTGATGCGATTGGTAGCGTTGTTGCATCGGACACGGATAGTGACGATTCCGTCGAAAGTGAATTTTGCTTTTCCTGAAGGCACGTCGTCGTCGTAGATGTAGGGTTTGAGGAAGAGCTCGTACGACTCTGGCATCACGGCAGTTGTTAGTCGACCAGGCCATGGTCCAGACGGGCTAGCTGTTGATGTAGTAGACTCGCTGCCCTCTGTCGTAGCTCTAGGGGTTGTTTTTACATTCTGAGGATCGGAGGAAGGAACGAAGGCTGTTGGTGTAGTAGACTTGGTGGTGGTGGTGGGTATTTCGGGATCTGTCACCTCGCTGCCCTCTGTCGTAGCTCTAGGGGTTGTTTTTCCCTTTTGAGGATCGGAGGTAGGAACGCCGATGATGTCATCCTGCCCACAGCTTCTGTCGGGAATGTAGAAGCAGAGGAGACCGACCCCAATGACTAGGGCGGCCACCAGGGCACCAATCATGATGACCTGATTCAACGAAAGATTAATCTTGTCATCTTCTTCGTCTTCCTGGATCTGGAACGTAAGTTTCTCTTTGAAACCCGGCATTTTGACCGATCCTCAATCCTCAACACTTCATCAACAAACTAGGAGTACGAAATGGATGGAAGAAGGGAATTCGACCCTTTCTTATATCCCGATAACTTGCATTTACAATACAAGGAGTCGATCAGAACAAATATTTGATGTTTCCTATTTTGCGGAGACGCCCACCTTATGTGGACAGAGTCGTTCATCGTGAGTAAAAATAGAAAAAAGAAAGAAATCCATATTCGAATCTGAATCTGAATATCTTTACAATCAGTACAATAGGATTATTTAGTTAAAGATCCTCAGTTTTAACCAATGTAGCCTATTACATTCTATTCGATAATGACATAGGCATATTAATCAATAAAACATATCCATGAATAGCTAAATAGTTGTAATTTTCATGGTTCTTGAAATGAAGTTAAAGGTCAATCCTGGGACTGGTTTGGTTGAATGATTATATTATTGGCACCCTTTCATCCAAAATTTGCTGAAAGGCGGTCTAGACATCTGTTTAATGGCTAGTGTAATCAATTAGTTTGCAGACACACCAAACCCGTGTCAGTCGCTATGTGTAACAGTGTCTGCACTGTGAGACTATACTGACAGCACACTATACAGGCTCTGTACTTTAGCTGCTCTTGATACAGAAACAGGCTGATTGAGCTAGACTCTGCTCAATGCTAAATGTGTTGTGATAAAGTGTCAAATTAGAGTCTGTGCATGCAGAATAGTCATCAAGCATCCATGATCACATTTTGGTGAACAGCCTATCGAATTATAGACGACATTATCCATCGTCATACAATTTTAATATATTTCAGCTATTCCACTTGCTTTTTTTTATTTTTTTTTTAATTTTTAGATATTTGGGCTTGAATATTGGTTTCCCTTCTTTTGACTCAATCTGTCCATTAAGTTTGGACACGGTGATAAATTTTCAACGTTATAAAATTGTTATTTACTAAGATTTGTTCTTCTCTTTTACGAGTATGCACCTTGGAATATGCTGTAAAAAAAAGTACGTGCATCCAGTGGGGTAGATAATACCTTATTACCTATCGTTCGTTCGTGAATGAATAGAATATCACTCCCCTCCCCCCCGAACAATAGGACCTACGCTACTGCGCCGGTGTATGACTATAACGAGACAATGAAAACGGTCTACAACTGTTCGTGCCGATGACATCAACCTATATACGAAGACAGGACCTTTGGCATGAATCCCCGCTCTGTCTATAGAAGGAAAATTGTTTTAAAAAAATAAGTAAACAGAATAATGTTACTGAACAAGCTCAACATACCGTAGGCTTTAAAACGTGATAGATTACGGTATTTTGTGTATAGGCACACTATTAATATTTTCCATTCATCATCAACTTCAGGTGGCTCTGTAAAGCGCTGCTGTGGTCTTCACGAGAGCACGCCATGCAACTCTTTCACTTGTCATTTGTGTTGCACCTTTCATTCCTTGTCCAGACACTTTCTTGATATCATCAATCCAAGATATTGGTGGACGACCTCTCCCCCGTTTTCCTTCGACTGCTCCTTGCAGTATTTGCTTCTCAACACCTTCAGATCTCCTAACAATGTGCCCAAAATAGTTTAGTTTTCTTTCCATGATTCTCCTTCTGATGGTCAAGTCTGTTCCAATCTTTTCCAGGACCCACACATTTGTCTTTTTATCTTTCCATGAAACCTGCAACAGCCTCCTGTAGCACCACATTTCAAAGGCATCAACTCTCTTTCTGTCATTCTTTGTCATTCTTTGTCATGGCCCAGGACTCACTTCCGTAAGTCGCAATAGAGAAAGAAGTTGCTTGAAGCAGACGAACCTTCAGACTGAGAGATAGGCCTCGGCTCTTCCAGATGTGAGACATATTCTGTACTGTTGATCTCGCCATTGCCATCCTTCTCCTAATATCTGTGGTGCTCTCTCCTTTCTTAGTGATGATTGAACCCACGTACTCAAACCGATTTACTACTTCAATCTTATTTCCAGCTACGGTGAAGTCAGTGTTATTTTCATCTCTATCGACAACCATTATTTTGTCTTTTTGGTGTTTAGAAGAAGGTCTTTCTCTTCACTTGCCTGTTTGATGCGATTCAACAAATCCATCAGCTCTTCTGCTGCTGCAAACGAGAGTAGTGTCGTCAGCATACCTTTGGTTCGTGATCTTTTTACCTCCAAACTTAACTCCCCCATTGAATCCTTCTAGAGCATTTCTCATAATGTCCTCAGAATAAATATTAAAAATGTTAGGAGACAGTATGCAGCCTTGACGTACTCCCCTACCAATTCCAAACCACTCAGTATTACCGTTACTGGTTCTCACTGTTGCTTCTTGGTCATGTTAGAGGTTTTTGATCAGTTCGATGATGTGACTTGGGAACCCCATCTTTGCCATTGTATTCCTAAATTGAGAGTGGCTCACACAGTCAAATGCTTTGCTATAATCTATAAAGCCACAAATAGAGGGGATGTCTGTGTCACAAGCAGCTGATGATCGCTGCCACAGTCAGCACCTGGTCTTGTCTTAACGTTCTGTAGTGAAGTCCGCCACCTCTTCTTGACCCTGATGTAGTCTATCTGGTTTCTGGCTCTGTCTCCCAGACTCATCCACGTCCACAGTCTTCTGGGATGATGCTCAAACCATGTGTTACCAATGATGAGGCTGTTCGCTACACAAAATTCTTCCAGTCGATCACCTCTTTCATTTCTGATGCCAAGACCATAATTACCAATGTACTCAAATTTTCCCCTCGTTTTACCAATCTTTGCATTCCAGTCACCCAATATTATGAGGAAATCTTTCCTAGGAATGCTGTTTACGACATCTTGTACCATCTCGTAGAAATCAGTGATTTCTTCCTCCGGTGCATCTGCTGTTGGTGCATATACCTGAATTGTGGATATATTCATAGGATGCCCTTGTAATCTCACAGTCATAATTCTCTCGTTCATCGGGCGATATCCCAAGACACATTTAGTTGTAGCCTTCTTTATGATGAATCCCACACCCCTTCGCTTCCTTCCACTTTCTTTCCCCGCAAAGATGATTGTATTTCCTTCGTCTGATGTAAATCTGCCTTGTCCAAGCCACCATGATTCAGATATTCCCAAAACTTTAATATCATTTAGAGCCATCTCCTTCTCCACCATTTCCACCTTCCCACCCGGCCCCCACTCAGTGTAATATAGGGTACGCATATGCGTGTTCCCTCCTTTTGAAAACACCCCCTAGGTCCGGTGTGTAAAGTCAATTTTATGTATGTACGAGCCGGACTTTGGTGCGTGAAAAGTACCCCTTTACCGGACATTTTGGTAACACGCATGCGGTCATTCCGACCCCGGAGTGGGGGGCCGGGCCTTCCCATCAGACATACCACGTACGTTCCACGTGGCTACATTGATTGGTTTCCTTAGAGGGGTGCTGTTCCTTTCCATCATGGGACCTTCATGAACAGAACTTCCTACAAGAGGCTTTGATCGATCCTGATCCGTCATCACCCGCAAGCGTACTACGAGCAGTACCTCTCTCTTCCGCAGTAGCTCTTGACGTATCTTCCGGCCTGCGGATTCCACCTTCCGATCGATACCCACTTGATTTGTTGATTTTGTAATCTCATGATGACAAACGCGACCAATTAATTATGGTGGGCGGCCAGATCCTTCCATCGCAGTACAGAAGCCAGAAGCGTTAACGCCGACCTGCCCTCTGCTCCCCCGTAGCCACCGTTGTCCAAGGTTTGGATCCTCCGTCAACTACATGTACTGCATCGCTGCTGCCCGGTGCAGGACGGGGTTTATTTGAAGGCGACACAACCCGCCTTGTCATGTTCTCGTCATAGGGTTATGAGAGTTTTTCAAGAGCTAACAGCGTCACCTATTAGCTCTTCTCCTCTGTTAAGAACACCGGGATCAGACTAGCAACCCGCTGGAACCCACCCAGTATTTCTACGGTCTCGGGGTTATTTTCATTAGATATATTTAATTGTGAAAGGATTCTATCCGATAACTTTTGAATTTCAATATTTCATGCACCAACATAGGCCCCCTTCGAACTTTTTTGTTAAACCCATAACATCAAAAATCTCTGCTTAATTCATCAATCTCAGTGACATGTGACAGTTTCTTAACTAGTTTTCACAATTATGAACCCTATTGCATTTTCCGAGTTACGAACCTCTTTCGTTTCGTAATTAAAAATGTTTTGAATTTTGGCAATTAGGAGCCTTATGTCATTTTCAGAATGTAGAACCTTCAAGATAATGCATCAAATGTTCAGCATGATTAACCTTCACTATCTGAATTATGAGCACCCTGGTATGTGAAATTTTTGTTTCAGAATTATGACCCTTCGGAAATATGAACCTTCGCAAGCCCTTTTAATTGTAGAAACGAGTAAACCCTGGTCCCCTTCAGATGACGTCTAAGTTTTAACATAATATGTTGGCCCACTGGTATAGGTGGATCATAAATATATGTTTCTTGGATACAGCGTACATAGATGATAAGATAATATAGACAAAATTGTTATCAAACCGGTTTCCTTGCTTGGGAGAATAACGGTGGTATAGTAGCGTACGCAGGATTTTTTCGAGGGGGGGGGGGGGAGGGGTTACATTTGAAAATCGCGCCGAAAATTTCGCAACGACCCAACCAGCCGTTGAATAAGCGGAGGGGGGGGGGGGGGGGGGGGGGTTAAGAGCACATATTTGTTTTGTCCCGGAAATCGGAAAATAATGCCAACCGATATTTCGTTTAGTAGGGGGAGGGAAGGGGGGTTAGGTCACTTTTTTGTCACCCCTTTTCTTTGAAATAATTTTTTCAAAATTAAAAAAACATTTCATGGGGGGGGGGGGGGAAGTTCCTCCAAAACACACACATAATACAAATTGAGGGGGGTTTAACCCCCCCCCCCCCCCTGCGTACGCGCCTGGTAGTGAGTGGGCTTGAATGTCATATTTCAAGCACTTGACTACGACTTCAAATCTATTTAGACCTACCTACACTCTTTCAGGCAGCTCATGATCCCTTCATGTTATCATCTATCCAAAATAATTCTGTATTACAAACGATCAGACCAAAGTCAGTTTAACGTTGTTAGCTTTCTGTCTGAGGTAAACCCCCTCAGCATAGTACACAATTCTGAAGGAGAACCCTTGCCTTATCTTTTAATATTGGAGACTTCGAGTGAATCCTCTTATCCGAAGTGTCTCAATTTTATACGTAGAAGAAAAAGGATGCCAAAGATGTCTACATCATGAGTGACAACTGTACTTGTATTGTTTCCCATACCACCCTCTATTAGCTTTACTCAATAACGGTTTGGAAAATTTTACACAAACCATTCTTGAGTAAACTCTTACATGCATGCATGCATCCCACTCAACGTTAAGTGAAATGTTACACTTTTTTTTAGAGTGACCACGATTTTACTTCGATTTTCGTATCAAGTTAGCATCTCACAATAGTCATTCAATTTTGAGCTGATTAGTCATTTGTATATGGATTGAACAAAGGAGTGATTATCGGATAGAGCTGGTCAGAGGAAAGAAGTTTGAGAGGTTGTAGGCGATAATTTAACTGCGATAAAGATAAAAAAAAGAGACAAGTGTTTTTTTTTAAATAATCTGAAATATCGTTGTTCCGCACTTTTCAACTTCACCACTGTTTGAAATTATTGTACGTACATTATTTAATTGATTTAAATTTAAATCTAAAACAAAAATTAAAAAAACATAAACCCTTCCCTCCTCTCTTTGTCTTCTCTCTCGCCCTCTCTCTCTGTCCTCTCTCTCTCCCTCCTTTTCTCTCTCTCTCTCTTTTTATGTCTTCTCTCCCCCCCCTCTCTCTCTCTCTCTCTCTATATATATATATCTCTCTCTTTCTCATTGTTTCCTCCCTCTTTTACAATGCGAATTGGGAACTTATACCTCTTTCCCCAAAGCTACGAGACAGAAAAATATAATGAAATATACTTTTGCTGCCATGTCTTTTAATAATAGCCTTATTGTTGAATCAACGAGACGCAACAATCTTCGAACTTTAAAAAGTATATAAAAGATCAAAAATTCTATTTTAACAAGCTGTGCCTAAACACGATTTAGATTTCAAATAATTTTCAAATCTTTGGTTGTCAAAATATTGCAAACTTCTAACGCATTTAGTGACGGTAGATTAATCTAGCTCAATGTTAACTTCTTAAAAATGATAATACTGTTAATATAAATACACACAAACAAACTTGTGTATGAGGGGGATGGGTGTGTGTATGTGTACATATATATATATTATTATGAAATTTACGAAAGTGGAGGAAAGAAATTCACTTCAAGTACAAGAATTGTGACGGGATCCCCAAATATAAATATGCTTTTGTTTGTTGTTGCTCGTTTGTAGTTAGCTCATCGATTCACGGGAGGCCACGGCCGCCACAATTTTCTGAAAACGTAGGGAGGGAATGCAAAAGGCAGGGAGGCAGTACCTGCAACGCACGTCACACGCACGGTGTGAGTATGTGGCCCGCACGCCACGCCTGGCCTTGAGCGGTTGCGTGCATCGTGCGTTGCGCACGTGGTAAGTGCGTTGTACGTGCTTACAATGTACGGTCTCCGTGCGGTGTCCACGTTATCGTACGGTGTCCTTACTCATTCGCATGTTGTTAGTGCGTGCACGTGCGATGAACTCGGTGAGTTTTTTCGCCCGAAGTCCCAGCTGCTGCTGCCTCAAGATGCCGCCCATTCCACCGCAGAGACTATATACTGCATATATCAGTGCGCACAACGTGCGTTGTAAGTGCGGAGCAAGTGCTTACTCGGTACGGTCCACGTAAGATCTGCGTGCTCATTGGACAGATGAACTGGGGAAGTAGCGAGTAAGCACGGACCCCGCACTTATCATGTGTGCAGCACGCATAAGCTAACTGCGCTTTCCGTAGAGCAAGTGACCGTGGGAAACAAATTTAAAAGACGCACGGAGTCAGTGCATTGTGCGCTCGTTGGCAGTCCTGGGCACGCACGTCACACGCACTGAGGGTGAATCGGTAGCCCGACCGCAGCACGAACGCAGCGAAAGTTCCTCGTGCATTAAAAGTGCTACGATGTGTCTGCGTGCTCCCAAATCCGTACGGAGGCGGTACTCACCACGTACGGATACCCAAATTTTGCCCACGTTTTAGCACGTAGACAGCACGCACTTGCAAGTACGGCGGGTTGTGACCATCGCATTATGACTGAAAAGGCTGATGAGTGAGTGGATTAGCATTATATACAGTAATAGATGTAGCCTAGTAGTGACTTTCTAAACTCAGCTGATTGAGTTCAATTCAATCATCAAAACAGATGGACAGAGAAAGAGGTGCCACTTTGCTTTAAAATGTGACAGCCATAAATGAGTATAGGGTAAAATGCAGCCGAATAATGATGTGCCCTGGTTCAGAGTCGTAATTCATCATTGTAATGTATCAAGACGAAAATCACAAATTTGAGAGTGAGAGATATGAATGAAGGGAAATGGAAGAGTAACATGGAGAGAGAGAGAGAGAGTTTACTTACACCTCTGTCTCATCTTCGGTCATATAACTAGTGCGGTAGAATCCTGACAGTCCATCATTCAGCTGACCAAGATAATCGATTTCGATGTCATATACCCCATCAACGACGAGTTCATCATTGAGATCAATGTGGAGGAATTCGTACTCGTTTTCCTCCGAGTGCCCTTGATACATATCGACGGTGTCGCCCATCATGAAGACCGTGATGGTAGTGATATTGATATCCACAGCATGAAGAGTGATGCGATTGGTAGCGTTGTAGCATCGGACACGGATAGTGACGTTTCCATCGAAGGTGAATTTTGCTTTTCCTGAAGGCACGTCGTCGTCGTAGATGTAGGGTTTGAGGAAGAGCTCGTACGACTCTGGCATCACGGCAGTTGTTAGTCGACCAGGCCATGGTCCAGACGGGCTGGCTGTTGGTGTAGTAGACTCGCTGCCATCTGTCGTAGCTCTAGGGGTTGTTTCTCCCTTTTGAGGATCGGAGGTAGGAACGACGATGATTTCATCCCCGCAGCTTCTGTCGGGAACGTAGAAGCAGATGAGACCGACCCCGGTGATTATGGCGGCCATCAGGGCACCAATCATGATGACCTTATTCAGTGACAGATGAATCTCGTCATCTTTCTGATCTTCCTGGATGTTGAACGTCTGTTTCTCTGTGAAACCCGGCATTTTGACCGATCCTCAATCCTCAACACTTCATCTACAAACTAGGGAGTACGAAATGGATGGCAGAAGGGAATTCGACCCTTTCTTATATCCCGATAATTTGCATTTACAACATAAGGAGTCGATCAGAACAAATATTTGATTTTCCTATTGTGCAGAGACGCCCACCTCATGTAGAAAAAGTCTACAACATGAGTAAAAAAGGATAGACAAAAAAAAAAAAAATCCATGATATTCAAATCTGACTCTGAATATCTTCACAATCAGTACAATAGGATTATTTAGTTAAAGATCCTCAGTTTTAACCAATATAGCCTATTACATTCTATTCAATAATGACATGGGCATATTAATCTATAAAACATGTCCACGAATAGCTAAATAGTTGTTCTTTTCATGGTTCAAATGCCTCTGCTCATGCAAGGTTTGAATGAAAGGGATGGTCAATCATGGGACTTGTTTGGTTGAATGGTTAAATTCTTGACACCCTTTCATCGAAAACTTGCTTAAAGGTGGTCTAGACAATCTGTTTAATGGTCAGTGTAATCAATTAGTTTGCAGAAACAACAAACCATTGACAGTCGCTGTGCGTAACAGTGTCTGCTACGTGAGACTATGATAACAGCATACTGTTTAGGCTCTGTACTTAAGCTGCTCTTGATACAGAAAGAGGCTGATTGAGCTAGACTCTGCTCAATGCTAAATGTGTTGTGATAAAGTGTCTATTTAGAGTCTGTGCATGCAGAATAGTCATCAAGCATCCATGGTCACATTTTGGTGAACAGCCTATCGAATTATAGACGACATTATCCATCGTCATACAATTTCAATATATTTCAGCGATTCCACTTGCTTTTTAAGATATTGTGGCTTAAATATCTGTTTCCTTTCTTTTGACTCACGCTGTACAATAATTTTGCACACAATGATAAACTTTCAACGTTATAAAATTGTTATTTACTAAGATTTGTTCTTCTCTTTTACGAGTATGCACCTTGGAATATGCTGTAAAAAAACGTACGTGCATCCAGTGGGGTAGATAATACCTTATTACCTATCGTTCGTTCGTGAATGAATAGAATACCACCCCCCCCCCCGAACAATAGGACCTACGCCACTGCGCCGGTGTATGACTATAACGAGACCATGAAAACGGTCTACGACTGTTCGTGTCGATGACATCAACCTTTATACGAAGACAGGACCTTTGGCATGAAAAACCGTTCTGTCTATAGAAGGAAAATCGTAAAAAAATAAGTAAACAGAATAATGTTGTTGAACAACCTCAACATGCCGTAGGCTTTAAAACGTGATAGAAATGGTAGTTTGTGTCGTATTAGGAACACAAATCATCAATATTTTCCATTAGATCTATCATATTGCTCCGATTGTCTCATTTTCGCTCGCTGGACTTATATAGCAGACGGCAAACGGCGGATTATTAAGACGACACTTAGTAGTGAATTTGTATGTGAGATTGCTTTGCTAAATATAAAATACAAGAACATTTTCCATATCTTTAAACTGTCATTGGTATCTGATAATTAAACAGTTATTAAAATAAACCTACCAAACTACATAATACAATGAAATACTTGACTTAAAGTAGGGGAGTTTGATGTGGTGCACAATTGCACCACTCTGTAAATAATCGAATAGTCTATGGCGATCATGAATATTCATGTTTTTGCTTAACTTGCCAAATTGCTTGCCTGTACTAAATGGAAAAATTACGGTTGGGGGTTGGCTGAAATGGACATAATGAACCGATCAGAACTGATCTATGATAATTCATGCTTGTTATCCTTCGTGTACTTGACCTATAACCTTACAATCGCGTGTCAAATTGCGTCCAAAGTTCGACTTGTTTCACATGTGTTATATAGGCAATGGCGAGCTAGCGACCTATTTTGACCAAATTACGGTGGTGAACTTTCAAAATTCAATGGGACATGAGGGTTCCAATGAAAGAGCTAGTGTCAACGTACGTCGAGGTGGATGTGCTTTTTTTAAACGATTTTTTGGGGTAAAATTCAGTAGGCTAACATGTTAGGCTGCTGGACTCTGACGATAGGGGGCGTTGTCCAATGAAACTATTCGGAGCCATATGTTTACTTATAATAGGATTCTATCCGATAACTTTTGACTTTCAATATAAGTCATGCACCAACATAGACCCCTTCAAACTTTCATTTTGAACCCATTACATCCATAATCATCATATCTCAGTCTGCTTAATACATCAATCTCAGTGACATGTGACAGTTTCTTAACTAGTTTTCAAAATTATGAACCCTATTGCATTTTCCGAATTACGTACCTCTTTCGTTTCGTAATTAAGAACGTTTTGAATTTTGGCAATTATAAGCCGTATATCATTTTCAGAATATAGAACCTTCAAGATAATGCATCAAATGTTGAGAATAATTAACCATTTTTTTTAACTTTCAGAATTATGACTCTTCAGAATGAGTAAACCCTGGTCCCTTCGGATGACGTCTACGTTTTTACGTCATACGATTGGCCAACTGGTATATAGGTGGATCATAAATACATGTATCTTGGATACAGCGTAAATAGATGAGATAATATAGACAAAATTGTTATCTAACCGGTTTCCTTGCTCGGGAAAAAAACAGTGGTATAGTGAGTGAGCTTGAATGTCAATCATCAGGCACTTGATTATGAATTCAAATCTATTCAGACCTAGCTACGCTCTTTCAGGCAGCTCATGATCTCTTCATGTTATCATCTCTCCAAAATGATACCGTACTACAAACGATCAAGAGTGACTGACCAGTCAGTTTAACGTTGTTAGCTTTCTGTCTGAGGTAAACCCCCTCAGCATAGTACACAATTCTGAAGGCGAACTCTTGCCTTATCTTTTAATATTGGAGACTTCGAGTGAATCCTCTTATCCGAAGTGTTCCAATTTTTATACGTAGAGGAAAAAGGATGCCAAAGATGTCTACATCGTAAGTGACAACTGTACTTGTATTGTTTCCTATACCACCCTCTATTAGCTTTACTCAATAACGGTTTGGTAAATTTTACCCAAACCATTCTTGAGTAAATTTTTACATGCATGCATGCATCCTACTCAACGTTAGGTGAAATTTTACCCTTTTTGTTTTTTAGAGTGACCACGATTTTACTTCGAATCTGGATTTTCGTATCAAGTTAGCATCTCACAATAGTCACTCATTTTTCATCTGATTAATCATTTGTATATGGATTGAATAAAGGAGTGATTATCGGATAGAGCTCGCCAGAGGAAAGAAGTGCGAGAGGTTATAGGTGCTAATTGAACTGCAATAAAGATAAAGAATAGAGATGTTTTACTCACTCTCTCTCTCTCTGTTTGTTTTTTAGTGATCTGAAATATCGTTGTTCCGCCCTTTTCAACTTCACCACTGTTTGAAATGATTGTAGGTACATTATTTATTTGATTTAATTTTAAATTTAAAAAAATACAAAAAACAAACCATAAATTCCTTCCTCCTCTCTTTGTCTTCTCTCTCTCTCTCTCTCTCTCTCTCTCTCTCACTGTCCTCTCTCTCTCTCTCTCTCTCTCCCTTCTCTATATCTATCTCTCTCTCTCTCTCTCTTTCTCGTTGGTTCCTCCCTGTTTTACAATGCAAATTTGAAACCTATACATCTTCCTTAAAAGCTAGGAGACAAAAGAATATAACGAAATATACTTCTGCTGCAATATTTTTTTAATAATAATTGTTGAATCAACGAGACGCAACAACCTTCGAACTTTAAAAAGTACATAAAAGATCAAAGTTTCTATTTTAACAAGCTGTGCCAAAACACGATGTAGATTTCGAATAACTTTCAAATCTTTGGTTGTCAAATATTGCAAACTTCTAACGCATTTAGTGATGGTAGATTAACTTAGCTTAATGTTAACTTTGACAAAATGATAATACTGGTAATATACATACATACAAACAAGCTTGCGTATGAGGGGGATGGGTGTATGCGTGCGTGTACATAATTATATATAAATATATATATTATCAAATTTACGAAAGTGGAGGAAAGAGGCGAAATTCCCTTCAAGCACAAGAATTGTGCCGGGATCCCCAAATATAAATATGCTTATACATTATGATGATTTTAAAACACATAACAGCGCAGAGGGAAAAAGAATCGGTTTGTGGTTAGCTCACCGATTCACTTAAGTTAATATCCATCATCAAAATCCGATGGAAGTGCAATCAGTTTATAGCTTTTTTTAAAATCAATTACATGATTCCGAAGATTTAAACAATAATTAAATTTGCATTCGAATAGAATACTGATAATCAAGAGAGCATTGTTCACTTGTTGATTCTTATCAAACATAACGAACCATGGTGAAACGCGACATTAGAGTCGAGGTCCCCGTCTTATAAACAGTTGCGAAAATCGCAACCATTGTACGTAAAAGATAAGGAACTGCAAACTTAGAGGACTTGTGATTTTTTAAATTTTTTTTTGATTCGGGTCGATCGCAACTCTTTATAAGACGGGGCCCAGGTTTAGTCACACATATTTACAACCACATCGGGTAAAACTTTTCAAGAGAGTACGTGAAGCTAAATCATTTTTTTACCATCGGATCTAAGACCCCTTGCACAAATATTTTGGTGAAACACGGGCCTTGGTCCATATCACAAGACGGACCAGAGGGCCAGACTTGCACAAAAGCGGTTCCAAAGACCTTTGGTGCGTTTACACCAAAATAAAACGTTACCGATACCTATCTCATGGCGCCCCGAGTTACAAGTTTGGATTCGATGTAACAGGGGTCTGCTTCTTCTGTGTATTTTAATGTTGTATTTTGGGGGTCTTTTTTCTGTATGTCAATGATTATATTCAAAGTAAATATTGGCTCCTCAAGGAGAGAGAGAGAGAGAGAGAGAGAGAAGGAACAAACAAAAAACAAATATATTGTAGACGTAGAATTCAGTGGGTCTGATCATAGGCTTCCAACCAGGCCCGTACTTGGGGATAGATGGACTCGAAAAGTTCTATGTTGAGTTGAGTAAGAGCAATAGAGCGATGGATTGCAGTAGCGCCGAATCCTAGATCCCTCGAATTGGCGAAGGCTATCAGCTGTAATGAAGAACAAAACATAATGAACTTCTTAACATTAATGTAGAGGCGATTTTGAAAATAAGTTTGAAACAATTTTACATGTCACATTTGTGCATTACTATTTTTTCTTCGTAATGGTTATGTGCTATACGTGACCGAGTGTGACTTCGCGAAGTGAACTTGGACGATGCGAAAGAGCCTCACAGAGGAATACCATGGACTTAGTAGGTCCATGGGAATACCGGTACTAGATTTTAATACTCTTGTATTGAATCCAGCTATTCCTTCTCAATCCTAATGACAGTATAAATACTTTGTCCAAACTTTCAAAAGCTTTCAACCAAATTTCAAGAACTTAAATATGAACAGGTTATGTTTATTTCCACCTACCTCTTCGAGTTGTGCTTTAGTATTAAAGTCACTGGTTGTGGACAAAAGGAGTATTATCCACCTATATGCCCCTCCGTACCTGCAAATACAATGAACAAGAAGGGGAAATATTCTTCATGACGCTAGTAAGCCGTTGTAATAAAATAAAAAAATCATTGTTTTATCGATGTTTGGGTCTTAAGTATAATGAGTGCTTCTAGGATAGCCTTCACATATCTTCATTTTAATTACGTTTTTGGCTACTCTGAATAAAAAAACAAAAAGTCCATTTATCAGATTTTATAAGATGGCCTATAAGAATCTGGTGGGATTCGCACTTTGCCTGCGATGCGGCGACTGTAGAAAAAGACTTATCATCATCATCATCATCATCATCACCATCATCATCGTGGTCTTCAACTTTGCTACAAGCAGTTGCTGCCGTCATCATCGTCATCATCAGTATGGTCAAGACAGATAGAGGAAAACGAACTTACATGTCCTGTATTGCATCCCAGTTCTGCCGGATGTAGTCCCATGCCAACGTCCGGCCGACAGGAGTTATCGAAACTTTGGTGAGGACGAAACCGATCTGACGTGCTGTCATTGGGTTTTGCATCGGGTACTCGATCAGTCTGTAAAAATTGGATACTAATCGCGTTATATGGTAAGATGAAATGAGACGAATTAAGACAAGAAACAGAGATGAATATATCACCGTCAAAAAGGATACAAGTTAAGCTTAAAGTCGCGTATATTTTATAGTCCTCCTTACATGTTACTCTATTTTTTACCTAAAGCGAGAGTCGCATTTCTGTTGAGCCTTATTCAGACTTCAGAACACAGTTTTGAGGATGAAAGTATAATCGTCGTTCTCAAATGACAATTACGACTATAACTTGACACATGGACAGTTAATGTTCAAATCTGTACCCAAACCGATATACATGTCCATTTATAACACTACAGTGGGACCAACATTATGGGACCAACATTTGATTTTTTTAAAAGGTTCCTTTAACTATTAACATACTGCAGCCTGTCAGTTGTACACTATTTTGTTTCTCCTGTGGTTCACTTTTTCACCATTGTCCATGTAGCCTCTTGTCGATGCCCTCGCGCTGTTGGAGTCTCTAAATTCTGACTCGCTTCGCTCGTCAGAATTTAGAGACTCCAACAGCGCGAGGGCATCGACAAGAGGCTATTGTCCATGGTGCAGAGCGTATATGATGTTCAAATTTGCACTCTGTTTTAGGGGGTAATCCCTGTCGACCAACAACCCACCAGAAGGACAAAGAAAAGATTGCGTTTGAAACTATGAAAACAGAAGTAACATAAACAAAACAGATCCACGAGACCAACAGCGCACGAGACCGAGACAATAAAGGCATATAAAAGGGAAGATAGAAATTGTCGGTCTCATGGGCTGTCGGTCTAGTAGGTGGTCGGTCTTATTGGCTGTTGCCCTATCTTATAGAATATAGATGATATGGGTGCCGTTTTACGTCGCGTCTGGTGTGCAGATTTGAAGAGCAGAAGCTCGTGAGGAATCGTGCCATTTTGGTGTAAGCTCACACGATTGGGTTGATCTCAATCAAACAGATCGTGATGTAGATTATTTTTTTAATCGCCTTCACTTTGGCACGTCTCAACAATACGCACCATTTTACCATCATGATGTAAGTATGTCACATGCAGATCATGGTAACTCTTTCTATCAAGCTTCTAATAAAAAAAATGATTAAACCGGGTTTACGAGAAACCAAAAACATAGAAACAGGTTGATATTGGGTGCTTGTTCAAGAGACTCCATGACACCTATTCTTAAAAAAACTCCACTGGTTGCCTGTAAAGTAACGTGTTCTATTTAAATTATTCATAAACACACTTTAGTCCAGTACGTACTCTTTGATCATCTTCTCATCTTCTGGCAGTACACCCTGTGAATATGGATAAATATGGAAACCGATCTTTCAATTCATCAGCTCGTGCTCTGTGAAATTCCCTACCCGTAACAATTAGGAATATTTCTTCTTTTGATACCTCTTCTGTATTATTTTTATGTTTTCCTGGTTCATAATATAAAGTGCATTATAATCATTATTATCAATTTATTATTTTATGATCATAACAGGAAAGCTTCAAGGAGCTATTGAATAGGGATTATCACTTCAAGGTTTAAGGTTCAAAGTACAGTACCTTTGTATCTGCCAAGGACGTATCGTACAGGCCAGAGCGGTTATCCACATCTTTGTCTGAGTCGTACTAGATCTAGGATCCATATACAATGACCATAGGTAGTCCCATTCCGTGTAGGAACCTTCCCTGATCGCCGTACAAAGCAGCGTTTCCAGTGAGTTCACTTCAAGACTATATAAGAAAAAGAACGATAAGAAAGAGAGAGAGAGAGATAAAAAGAAAGAGAGATAAAACGAAAGAGAGATAAAAAGAAAGAGAGATAAAAAGAAAGAGAGATAAAAAGAAAGAGAGATAAAAAGAAAGAGAGATAAAAAGAAAGAGAGATAAAAAGAAAGAAAGATAAAAAGAAAGAGAGATAAAAAGAAAGAGAGATAAAAAGTAAGAAAGAAAGCGGATGGGATAGACAGACAGAAAGGGTAGAAATTGCGCAGAGAGAGAGAGAGAAAGCAAGGACGTATATTGCGCAGAGAGAAAGTCAGGGAAAGAGATAAACAATGAATTAAGATAACATTTTGGGGTACTTTTTGCCGATATGGATCATTTGCAAGAATCTTCAGAGGGGGAAGGAGGCAGAATCAGCAGGAAAAAATACAAGGGAGGTAAGCACGAGCACGACAGCCTATAAACGCTGACGACGCTTCCCTCAATAAATTCGATTTTATCGCCACTATTATTTGATACTGTAAGGTCAGGGCAAGTTAAAGGTAAATGCGATTGATTGTGAAAGAAACGTTGTGGAATCGATCAGAAAAGGTTGATCGCTTAGCATATAAGTATTGGTGTGTACTGCAAGGTTCTGGAATCATCAAAACGATAAGAAATTTGGCCCAGTCTTGGTAAAGTTACAAGCACTGTATACACATGCAGAAAGATGTACATGTGACTACGCGACACGTGCACGGACACGTGGGTGATATCTATCTATTTTGCGGTTTCCGGCAAAATTTGTAACATCACGTATTAGTCAAGACATATTCTTTCACATGATTGGTAATAAGAGCTTCCATTTCATTTTTTTGAGAGAGGGGGGGGGGGGCATTTCCAAACCTGGTCTATACCTTTAAAGATTTAAGTTATAGCACTCATTCTCCCACCTAAAGCCCCCATCACACCAAATTAGTTCTCAATACGTTCTCGAAAGTGTTGCCAAACGGGCTCAAACTGTGTGCCAACGGAGTTGAACGTAGTAGCAACTGTTTGTTTAAGGACTTCATGGACGGGCTCGGCCTCGCTAGGACGGGAAAGTGCTCTAGAACTTTGAGCCTGTTCAAAATTTCCCCCGTCCTGCAATTAGTCGGATTCACAACGTACTTAAAATGAGATGGACGTACTACGAACGGACTAATTGCGGTATTATGAACGGAATTGCCGTACTTCGATCCTACTAGGAACGTGTTACAACGTGACCTGGTCGAGCATCAATGAACAGTAGTATTAGCCCTTATCACACCAATCTAGTTCTCACTACGTTCTGGAATCGTCCTAGAAAATCGTAAAATGGGTTCTGGTCGGGTTAGAATGTGTAAATAATGTCTATAATACGATCCTAGTTCATTCCCAAACAGTCCACAATATGTCCAACTCGTCTGTACCCTGTCCACAAGTTCAGATCGGGTAAATTTGCCATTTCCAAGCAGTCCAAGCCCGCGTCCGTAGTCAGTTTAAACCCGTCATTGACTAGTTCTACTTCGTTCCCAATACGTCCAACTAATTCTAACTAGTACGCAACTTGTTCTAACTAGTTTATAACTCAACCACCCCGTTCAGAGACAGTTCAACTCGTCCTCATCTCGTTATTAGTGCGTGTGCAGTCCCGCCCTGGCTCTTACCTCAGAATCAAGTTCGTTTGTTTGCATTAATTACAACCTCTATCAACACATTAACATGAATATTAAAAAAGTATAATTTGCATATTCATAAGAATACATACACATTACTACTCGGGTCTGAAAGGTTGTATGTCGTTCTGAAATCCTCGAACAGGTCCAAAGCATGACGACTGCATTCGGGATTCCTAACCTTGCAGGCAATTGGTACAATGAGTTCCCTTGTCTTTCTGTTTCAAGAAAATTCATCCGGAAAACAAAACATTCGTTAATCCTCCATAGGACCCCGATCTGCATTGTCTATAGGCGATTATGTTTTTTCTTCCACGTAAAACACACGCACACACACACGCACACGCCAAACACTTCCGTACCCCACCCTCTCATACCCACTATCCTCCCAAGCACGCGCACACACCCACTATCCTCCCAAGCACGCACTCACACCCACTATCCTCCCAAGCACGCACTCACACCCACTATCCTCCCAAGCACGCGCTCACACCCACTATCCTCCCAAGCACGCGCTCACACCCACTATCCTCTCAAGCACGCGCACACACCCACTATCCTCCCAAGCACGCGCACACACCCACTATCCTCCCAAGCACGCGCTCACACCCACTATCCTTCCAAGCACGCGCACACACCCACAAACCAATCACTAGTTTCTCTTAAATCTTCATAGTACACAAGCACACATTTCCTCCCCTACATTAACACTTACAAATTGACGCACATACAAATCTAACATAATTATCAAAACTATTCCAACGTACAAATGTCATCTTTCTTCACTTCTAATATAGTTATATAAACCATTTATCATAATGCTTTAGGTAATTTTTTCCTAATTATCCCATTTTGCACTTACGCTTTATCGAGTGATATCTGATTAGTGTCAATCTCGAGTCGGAGCTCGTCATATGCTCGGCTAGTCAGCTCTCGGAGATATTTCTGTTGAATAAACAGAGGAAATTGATGCATACAAATCTATCAAAATAGAAAAATAACCGGTGATTCATAAATTATGATTGGGATTGGGGTCGATTACAAGCAGGAACCATTGAACTGTGGGTAATGGACATATCGAGACCTAAATTGCGGAGTATCGATGCATTTCAGTATTAGAAGATGTTAATGGTCTTCAAGTAATACTAGTCACATTAACATGACAGGCAACAGATAGAACAAAGCAATACATCATGCCGATAGTCTACAAATCTGTCAAGAGCTGCCGCTATTGACTATAAAAGGAATGGGAGCTTTTGATCTGAGTCGATCACAACTAATTTTGAAATGCATATGGTATCACTCAATATGACTAGTGTCCTTTGGCAAGACATGAATCTACTTCCGTCGCTATATCCTAACCGGGGTTAAATGAGTACCGGTAGGAAAGGCTGCCTCGAATGTTGTGAGCGCCGTAAACAGTATCCGTGCTGTAGAAGGAGTAACATTGTAGCGCCTTGAGCCGATTTAATGGGTAGATATGAGTGCTATACAATATCGAATAGAAACTATATAATATATAATAGATAACATGTAATAGTAAGTACATAAGAAATAGGTAATAGTAAAACATGGCAAACAGTAAGAGGTGTGTGAAAGAGAGAGGCAATAGTAATTGCATTAAGTAATAGGAAGTAGAAGTATATAGAATACAGGAAAGAGTATGTAAAGAAGAGATATGATCATATGAAATAATAATTTATAGGACTTGCGATCGATTCGGATCAAAGAGACCTCTGTACCTCGTATGGACCTTGAAGGGCGGTGGCACCCAAATTATCCCGGAAGATGATCAAGTAGCTGAGGACAGCATTCCAAGGTGCGGAATTGAACTCGTTCCTTAGGTATCTAGTGAGTTCGAAGGCAGTTGAAAACGGGAGGCGGCCATTAAGGGCCAGATTCATGGAATCTTCCATTAGCTGTGCCCGGTTCAGAACAGGAATAGCCTAAAACAAGAAAAGCCATTAATATGTGAAGGTGGGGGTATTTTGGCAGTGGTTTTTACCGCGTCATATCTGATCGAGCCTAACAATGAAAAAGGGGAATTTAAGATTTAAGATTTAAGGGGCGTGTAGGACATGCTGAACCGCAATTACTTTTGATCAGATTTCATTGGTATGGTCTTATATGCAATTCTTGGACATGGACACTCTCAATGATTTTTAACGCTAATGGCTGGTGGACTCGGAAACTTGATAGTTTGACATGATATTGTCCACTCAATGCAGAGAACTATGCTCAATCGGTAATATAACAGACAACTCAATTTGACACAATCCATAAATCGATATTTTAGTTGGTTTTGAGTGTAAAAGAAATGTGTTTAAGCACACTCCATGATACAACCCAACCCAATTTATCTGCAAAAATCAAATAAATAAACGAGTCATGCGAATGTTTTTACTTCATTAATTTTGTACGACACACGCTCCTGTGGTAATTGCTCCGCGGTCAATTTCATAAATGAAAATAATAATAATAAAATAAATAAAACTAAACTGAAACCCATATGCAACCTTAACCCTTACCCTATACCTTTGACGAAATGTATAGAGCGCTCAATAATAACTTTTAAACAATATTATTATCATTATCATTATCATTTTTATTATTATTATTATTATTATCACTATTGTTATATTTATTGTGATTGTTATCGTTATTAATATTATTATTATCATTATCATTATCATCATTGTCCTCATCATCATCATCATTTTCATAACCATCATTATTATTGTAAAGCCCTGAGCAAACATCGGGACACTTTTATTTCACCTTTTTCATAAAAGTGATTTGTACTTTCTGAAGCTTTTGTTACAACCAGGCAACAATTCCTTTCATGGAAAAGATCTGGAAGACATAAAACAAATCAGATCGGTTTATTTTGACTATCTAAATGCGTTCACCTCGTGATTAGTGTTGAGTTGGTGGATAAGTTTGGCCCAATTCTCCGGCTCGTAGTTGATTCGGAAGAAACCGAATTGGTGGATGTTGGCTAGATACCAGTCATCCACACTTACTCCATCAGCTAAACTGAACTCATCTGGAAAAGAAACCACACACTAAGAAAAAAATGGTGCAAGTATGCACCTTTAGGGGTGCAAACCAATGCAACAATAGCAGCACCTTTAGGGGTTAAATCCTGCACCCTTTTTAAAGGTGCAATCCTGCACCCTTTAAAAGGGTGCCAGATTGAACCTTTTAGGGGAATAGTACCCTTTATGGTTCATTCCTGCACCTTTAGGGGTGCACACCGATGCAACACTAGCAGCACCTTTATGGGTTCAATCCTGCACCCTTTAAGAGGGTGCCAGATTGCACCTTTTAGGAGGCATGTTAGTACCCGTAATGGTTCAATCCTGCTCCATTTGGGGTGCAAACCGATGCAATAACAGCACCTTTAGGGGTTAAATCCTGCACCCTAAATCCTGCATACTGGAAAAATTCGCTCGTACACAAATACATATTAAACATGCATGATGTTTCTTGGTTAGTAATCATATAATCAATATATCTATTGCTAAAACGTGAATGTAATTGTAACATGATCAGACAAAATAATCTATTGGTTAATGATTGCCAAAGGAAAATACAAATCACAAAATTGATGTGCATTGTAATAATTTGCTTAACAAATCATGATAAATGTATTTTTATGTGAACACGTGGAAAGTAATCATGAATATGCATGCAATATGAAAACTTTTATTTTGCACCCTTTTTTGGTCGATAGGGTTCATTTTTGTGGGAAGGGTGCAAAATCTTATATTGCACCCTTTTTTGAACCCCTTTTCCTTCAATGGGGTTCATTTTTATGTAAAGGGTGCAAACTCTTATTTTGCACCCTTTTTTGCACCCTTTTTTCTAAGAGTGCATAGAAACCAAAGGTAGCCTAAATGGCCGAACAGTGGTGTATTCAGACCTTGCCCTTTGCTCATATAACATTCACCTGCTTTTAAGTTAAATCATACTCTTATTTGTAAAATACCTTTCAATTTGGATTTTGATATGAAATATCACTCAGCAATTATCATGATCATTAAACTTCGTATCGATGACGGAACGGCTAGTTTTTGTCAAGCAATGTGGTAGGAGATGTAGAGATGAGAAAAACAGCGCGGAAGGAGACAGAATGAGGTCGACAGATTTTTAATCACATAATATAGGGCGAAACAGATAAACTATGAAGAAATACAATTATTTATTCTAAAGATGCTCACTTATTTCCTGATCTCTTATCCAAACTGAGGGAGGACTTTCGGTATTTCTTGATCCATTATTGGTATGTGTAAGGTAGATAGACCAAACGTATCTGAAAAGAGACAGTCGATGACAAGTAGCACAAGAAGAGAAATACACACACAAAAATACATAATCTATATATGAAGTAGTACAAGAGAAATATAACGATAGAGAATACCATGAGATTAGCTTTATTCTCAAAGAGGTAACGTATCTTCATCACCACTAATAGCTCTTGTCCTCTAATATATAATACATAGACAGTGAAAGACAACGAAATATCATCTTTTATCATTTAAAAGTATTTCAAGATTATTTATTTTGTGTTTGAACTGAAATGTTCTTGAGCTTTCACTCTGTGCCGTTTTACATCTTCTACATGGCCCTAGGGATCTAAGGGAATCCTGTAAACTCGTGTGTTTTGAACGATGGTAAAGTGATGTTTTATGACAGTATCGGGAACAATTAAACAGATCAATATCGACAATCCAATCCCACAATGTTTTATAATGAACTCTGTGTAAGTGTATTCTTCGTCATTAACCACCTTACCCGTATGGACTTTCTCTCGGGTCGGACACCTGGCTTTTTACGATATACCTCTGCTGTACGGCTGATATTGTTGTTTCGTCCAGCCTGGTCAAGTTGACCAATGGGTAGCCCATCTGCAGGATCCAGGTGTCCATCACCTGCCATACGTCAATGTTGCCGAACCCTACGTCAGCCTGCACGTGAAACCAAAAGCGAAACAACAAGAACTTTATAGGGGGCCTCACTAACACCTCCAAGCCGACTCAACATAAACCCCAAACCTGGTCACTCAGGGTAATGGAATAGTTTGTTCGGACTGGTGTCGGTCTCGTTGGTGTGACTATGGTATCACGAAGAAGCGGCACCAAGAAGTGGGAGCTGACGGTAAGACAAAAACCCATTAAAAGTGCCTGTAGATTCCAAGCGTTACGGAATGACATTTTCAGAGAATTTTTCATTTTGAGAAAAGAATATTAAAGAAATTAAGATAAAAATATACAAATAAATGACAACGTACATAAACTTATATGAGGTATTTTCACAACAGTTTAAGTTTCCTATCATTTGTCAAATACATGGAATATTGTATTTTGTAATTGTTTTGTAACGGAATGACAAAAAATCAACCTTTTATTTCATTACGTAACAAAGTGCATAAAATTAAATATTTTATCGATTTGATGAATGGTTGCTAGGAAACCCAGTCGCTGTGAAAGTTCATCATATTAGTTAATATATCATATCATTAGTTTGGAGATTGACATTAACATGTCAATGAAATTCTCTATTTTAAATAGAGAATTCCCCGGAAACGTTATTTTGTAATGCTTGGAATTAACCATCTATCCGATGGCCTTTAATACGGTCCCTTTACCAGGGACACCTCCCTGCCTTTACAGAGGAAGTTGGACAGTGCATTCATTTAACGTAATCTTATTTCCACTGTTATTCAACATTCTTCTCAAGATCGATGAGCAGCTTTATGTACAATGGAAAGATTTTAGCGCCATTTTGTTTAAACCTTTAAAACAAATTGAATCGTAAGCAAATCAGACGATTGACTGGTGTAAGTTTGAAAGAACTAGGAAAATATATAAAGAGAAACTAACGCTCAAAAGCTGTGATCACTAAACCTATGTGAATATTCAAATTGGTAAATTGGTATAGATTGAGACAAAAATTATGTCAACCATTTTATGTAATGTAGGGACAAATGTGAGTGCTGTCGAATACCTCACTGTCACGCAGCGCGCAGTGAAATTCACAAATTTGGATCGCAATATAAATAGGAATCTCATAATTAAAATGAAAGATATCATACTTTTTACTTTACCAACTTTATTTTGTCACTGACGTCTTTTTTCTAGTCAAGTTCCTATGAAATTTGCATATCGCTTTTCTTTATCATAAACGGTCCCTTTAAGTTTCGATCATTCGGAACATCATAAGTAGAACAACTTTGGCGGGAGGGACACCTTTTCCACATGGACTGTCTAATGGTAACGGCTGCCGAAGCGAAACCAACATGATAATACCTCCACTTACACGATTCGATACTCCATTTTGTTGAATTAATTAATACTATCATGATTGTACTAATTATAATTACACTAATTAAATAATATTTACGGACTTCATAGTGTGCACCCATTACCGGAATCAGATTCATCCGTGCAATTGCATCATTTAACTCAACAATGTGATTATGATGCCATGGTCGGTTGGGTAGCATATCAATTTTTATATGGGAGATAATAAAGAGAGAGAGAGAGAGAGAGAGAGAAAGAGAGAGAGAGAGAGGGGGGTGCACAGAGAAAAGAGTTAGGAACGGCACAGTGCCATTTTTAAGGAGAGAGGGCTCCGGTCTAAACAAATTTATATATATATATATATATATATATCTTAATTAAGTTAACTTTGGAGGCATGTCTTGGCATTTGGCTATTCATGGGGAGAAGGCAAGCATTCCTGCCCCTCTCCATTTAGGCTACATATTGTTAAATTATCCTGTAAGGTTATTATATGATTATATCTTAATTGTCAGTATCATTATCATAATCATTATCATAAGTACCGCCGTAAACCCCATGAGACTACCTCAGTGAGTGCATCCCACAACTGGTCAGAGTTAGCGTTGCTGTATTGGAAGGTTCTCAGATAGCCCTGCATCCCTCTTCGAAATACGTCATCACCTAGCATGTCATGGAGCATGCGCAGTACAGCTGCTCCCTGGTATAGTTGTGGACATGGATGTGGAAATATAAAAATGCACAACAGTCAAATAAGGTTGCGGTCACATGGACTGCTTGCTGCCGACTCATCTTGTATGATTAGGACCTATGCAAGATAATAGTTGCAGATGGTTTTAAAGGACAATCCAACCTTTGTAGCCTAATAAGTTAATCTGCACGAAGCTTAAAAATAAGAGAAATAGATTGGCGAAAATTAAAACTAAACCCGACCAATAATACGAGAATTATTATTAATCGGAGAATTATTATTAATCGGAGAGTTATGAATGTTTAGAAGATGAGATTAATAAATCTCAAATTGGCAAATTGGTCAGAGGATTGCGACGTAGTCACGGACAACTCTCCCGTTTCTCGTCTACAAAATATCATTAATTTCTGTTTTTCTCCTAAGTATTATTCCCCCTTGGGGTATTACTAAAAACAGATCATAGACAGTATATTATCAAAGATCGTGTAAAAAGAAAAAACTCCTTTGGGCCAGGCATTATGAAAAACTACAGTTTAGTACGGCACTACGTCACAGTGACATTACCAATTCAGCCAATTTTAAGTGCCCATGCATCTAGTGAATACCACTAATACACAAATTAATGACTTTCTCATTTTTTCCTCCAATTCCATTCTAATTTAATCAGTCTGCTTCTTTTATTTTTCTGCTTTCTTATAGAGTAGTAATATCTATCAAGCCATGATTTTCCTTTCATAGAAAAATAAAGATGACCAATCGCAACAACCTTCAATAATATATTTGTACAAATCAATGATAATGGTAAGCATCGGGATTACTATCAATATGCAGGTGACCGTGACTTGATATTGATTAAGAGGTTGCAATAATACCTGACTTCATCATGAACTTTATACATATAATAGACAGTTTCATTTCAAATTAAAAAATAAAATTATCGAAGCATATCAATGAATACAGACATACCAAAGATTTTCATCCTTCACTCTTCAAGAGTAAATTACGAATGTAAATATCAAGATGAGTGGAAGACAAAAAGCTTCTGTATGTCTGTATTTGTTGCTATTCTTCGATGTTGTAGTACCAATCATCTCTTTAAAACGACATTGATTCGATAAAATATGTTTATAGCAACTCCGTAAAACAGTACAGGAGCTCCCATATGTCCCCCATGCAGAAGTAGAACCCTTTTTTTGGGGGGGGGGGGGTAGGTCGACTGACTTATTGATTCAACAATATGTTCGAACTGAGGGAGAAGGTACGAAAAGCAGACACAGAAAGGTAAACTGCTTAAAGGTTTAAGGTTGAAGCTAAAGTTAAAAGAAAACCTTGATATAGGAGATATCGTCGAAAAGCTCGTCGATTTCTGATGGTGACGTCACGTGGACCTTTATAGGATGCGACGTAGAGAGCGCATCACTAATCAGAACGGCGTGGTTGTTAGAAGCAATCAATGTTTCCAGCTGTAAATTGATGAATGAAAAAAACAAAGAATAAGCCACTTCAGAAATACCACTCGTACAAATATTCTTATATTGTTTTACGGAGGTGTCATGGTCGAGTGGATATGTCACCAGACTGTGGTCTGCGGTTCGAGTCCCGCCGCGGCACTATTGTCCTTTAATTGGCAAGATATTAATCTACATTTGCCACACTCAACCCAGGTGAGGTAAATGGGTATCTGGTAAGAGATTATTCCTTGAAATGCATTGTGCGCTGATAACGACTGCCGGAGCTAAAGCTAGGGTAATAATTTCCAAAGCTCTTTGGAAGCGCATAGAGATGTTATTTCATAACGTATTATGTACCATACAAGAACTGAATATTATTATTATTATTAGGCCTATATCATTTACACATAGAGACATCCTACTTTGTGCATTTTGAAATAATCACTGCCAAAGTGATGGAGATGCTTCATGAGTACCTATTGCTAGCCTTCTTGAAAACAATACTTCCACTTGCCGATCATAGAACATACCATCGGTGCATAAATAAATAATGATGACATAACTTTCATAAACACGTATTCACCAGTCATTTTAGATTGATTTTACAATTTTGTACAAATGATCTTTATCTGCCCATGCGCAAATAGTATCTCCGAAGTGACTTATTCATATTAGTTCAACCAAGGAGGTGATAAAGAAGGAGTGGAAACTCTTGTAATTCATTCAAACGCATGCGTGAGTTCTAAAGCGTAACAATGGGATGTGTGTAACATTCCACTTGGCTTTGAAATTCCAGGCTCCGAGCCGCTCTTTCACTGATCACCCCCTTACTCCTCAGAACGTATTTACGTCACTGCCGGTACGCATAAAATCAGGAAATATCTGTACTTACCAACATCATTTCCGGATTAAGGGCATCAGCACCCAGATAACCGAAGTATGTTCCAAATCCTTCGTTCAACCAGAGGTCATCCCACCACTCCATGGTGACGAGGTTGCCGAACCACTGAAATCAATCAAATTTTCACATGAGATATTTTGATAATGATTTGGAATATTAGATATTATATTGCTACACTCCCCTCACCCTGCACAATAGCATAGTGTGGGATGGGCATTGGAGTCGGGGCAGGGGGGAATTGGGTGGATGAATACAATAGAACAAGGCCACGGAATGAGGTGAGGGTCGTATCATCTCCTTTTCAAGTTGCTTTATCCTATTAGTTTTATGCTGACCAATGTTATATTTGGCTTTTATGGGATCGTAGTACGAGCTTAGGATAGGTTCTTTTTCCCGTGGATATTTTTTGTCCGCCAAATTTGGAAAAGAAAGCCGAACTTGTGTTATTACTGTGTTAGGATTTTGACGTAGATGCAGGCCCGGATTCAGGCAGGGGCATAGTCGGCCCGTGCCCCCCCCCCCTCTTTTTAGGTGGCTAATAATAATGATGATAATAATAATAATAATAATCAATCATTGTCATTACAGCTTCCTGGTCTTACCAAGCAACATGTCACATACTGCTTATCATGATTAACTGTTCAACTGTCTGAAATAGCTGAACCATAGCTTGACACCATTTGTTTATGGTGATGTCAGAGTAGTACTAGTCTTGTGAGATACCCACTGACCTGTATTTTCGTTACTATTTGGGACACTTACCTGGGAAATGCATGCCAATAGTTTCCTTATGATAAACCTTTTTTTTAATTCATCTTAATTTGAGTGAAATCGAATAATACGAAAGACATACCTGGTGCGCAATTTCATGCGCAATGATTGTAAGCATACTCTCCTGGCTTGACCTAGTATCCACATCCGGGTCATAGAATAGTCCGCTTTCTGGGTAGGTTACCAATCCCCAGTTCTCCATTCCTCCATGTCCGTAATCGGGAACACCGAGCATGTCTATATGGAAAAACAGAAAGAGAGATATATACAAATTAAAAAAGGGAGAGAAAGAGAGCGGTATATAGAAAGAGAATAGACAGAGAGAGATATAGGTTAAAAGGGAGAGAAATAGAGGTGAGAGAGGGAGGGGAGAGGGAGGGGAGAGGGAGGGGAGAGGGAGAAAGAGAAATAAGAGTGGGCAGTGGAAAAGAGATTGCATAAATGTTTTCCATTAGTAAAAACGAATTCGTTTAATCAAATTATGAAAATGCAAGCATTACTTCAAACAAACAGAACTTTGTTATTCCTGGCTCAATTTCCCTAATTGAGGTGTCATAATATTATGAAAGGGCAGATAATGAACTTTCTAGAAATGTGATTTTCTCTTTGAAATTCAGATACCGCCCGCCAAATGAATTTTTGGTACCATCTCTTCAAATTTGTCTTAATCACTCATGCGTAAAATATGCATCATATGAGTTGCATTAAAATATTAAATGAAAGAGGAGGATCTAAGTTTTACAAAATTATGTGTCATTTATTGATTATAATTGTGATTAAGTTATGATAAAACATCGATAATTCTCGGTTTCGTTTTTTCTGGGACGCACTGTATATATAATATATTATTGGTGTCTTTCTATCTTTCTTCTCTCTCTCTCTCTCTATCTCTCATTCCCTGTCTCTCCCTCGGTGTCTCTCTTTTACGTTTCCTCATTTTATCTTTCATATTCTGATCACTTGAGAATTTTATAAACAATTTGGCAATAAAAGTATACCTCTCTTGAAAGTGCACATTGTAAGAGATGGGGGGACGGGTGTATGCAGACCCTGACAAAACTTGAACAAAAATCTGTCCTCGTTTAAATTCTTTTTAGAAATTATAACGCCCAATGTCTTGACAAAACTAATATAACAAGCGGGAGGGGGAGGGAAATTATGTTTGTTTTTTTGGTAATTTAAAAATAAACAATTGTAATGTGTCGTAGCATACATCGACAACACTGTTTCCTTTTTTTCGCAGTTAAATGAGCGATTTCATGACATTACTGATAACCAAGTTGATCTATATTTCTAGAGGTGCCGTGGTCGAGTGGTTAAGTCGCCGGACTGTCGATCACAAGGTCCGCGGTTCGAGACCCGGCGCGGCACTAATGTTCTTTGGCAAGACATTGATCTACATTTGCCACACTCAACCCAGGTGATGTAAATGGGTACCTGGCAGGAATTAATTCTTTGAAATGCTAGAGCGCCGCAATGGCAGCACAGTTTAAGCCGGGGTAATGATATCCAAGTTGGGGAGCGCTTAGTGATTTTAATAAACGATATATAAAAACTGAGTATTATTATTATTACCCATTTTCGATATCTGAAACGGGATGCTGAAGTAGTCTTCAAAGTGCGTCATGAGTGACGAGGCCGACTCCAACGCGAATGCAGTTGTATCTATGGCGTTCGGACGACTCCACGTTCGGAGCTGAAAAAATAAATCAATCCATTAATCAAGCAATCATTCAACAGAATTATATCTTAAAAAACATGAACGGAAAGTATTTGAATAAACTATTTGGAATGAATGAAAGAAATGTAACAGTTTATTCTACGGTTTACCAGACTCTCATGTTCTACATCACAGAGACAACCTCTCTATTGATTTTGAAGAAGAAGAAGAAGTCCCAGCATACTGGGAAAAGAATAAATAGAAAGTTAGAATTATACCATCACAAAATAGTGATTCGCACTATGACATCACGTTGTTTCCCATACCGTTTGAATTGATTTTCAACACGTAGGCCTATAGTTACATAGCAACTATGAAAGGAAGTACCCACGTTGGAGAAGTAGAACAAATGACATGTGTATGGTGAAAGTAATATAAGGATAAGACATTGAAATTGTAAGGGAAAACTAGGATTCACAAGAACGACAGCCTACGATACCGACTAATCGTTCTCGGGGTGGTTTCTGACAACTTTTCTGAGGGTGTGGCTGTCGGTATCATGGGCCGTCCGTATTATGGGGTGTCGGTCTCGTGGGACTTCCGTCTCATGAGTTGTCGGTCTCGTGATACGTCCGTCTCATTCAAGGTCTGTCTCGAGGGCTGTCGGTCTCGTAGTCTAACGGTTGTGTCCGTCTCGTGACTTATTGGTCTCGTGGGCCGTCCGTCTCGTGACGTGTCGGTCTCGTGATACGTCCGTCTCATTCAAGGTCTGTCTCGAGGGCTGTCGGTCTCGTAGTCTAACGGTTGTGTCCGTCTCTTGACTTATTGGTCTCGTGGGCCGTCCGTCTCGTGAGTTGATGGTCTCGTGATACGTCCGTCTTATTCGAGGTCTGTCTCGAGGGCTGTCGGTCTCGAAATCTGTCGGTGTCGAAGACTGTCGGAATACTGCGGGCATACTACAGTTACCCGAATCCCATTCGTCGTGTTGATCTCTCTGTAGTCGAGAACACCGACCGCCAAGGCGAGGAGGTACGTGGACATGACCGGCGACGTCTCAAACCTCGTCGAAGACCACCCGTCACCGTGGTCGATGGTGTCCATCTCACGGCCGTTGGAGAGGGCGACCATGTGGGTTCTGTGCTTGATAAGAACGTTGAAGGTGGCTTTCATGATGGGTTCATCGAAGCAGGGTAAGGCATGGCGGGCAGAGACGGGCTGGAACTGAGTGACAGCCATCCAACTTCATGATGAGCGAGGGAAGAGGTGAACAAGAAAAACAAGAAAATCAAGAGGGTGGGGTGAATAATTTCGTAGCAATATATTAACGATAACAATAAGAACATTATTCATGACAATTACAGCAATGAAAGTATTTATATTAACAAACAAAAAAGTAAAATAACTTCATTCATGAATCATCAGAGATATTGCATTTACATAATACAACAGAAATTATTCCACTAAGATGGTTTCGTTCACGATCAATTTGGAGTTGCCTATAAAAAAAGGTTGACACACTTAGTTTTTGTTTTGATATTCCTCTTCAAAATGTTAACTTCCCGGTTATGCATTTCTCGTCTGAATATTACTAAAGCCCACATCACACTATACGATCTGCAATAACCTTTTATAGCAACATTCAAACATGTTATACCTTAATGGCCGAGGATCTGAATAGTATTATGATTAATCGTATCTAAATTTTGAGGAATTTCAGGCTTCACACCGGTAGTGCGATTGTTAAAGATTCGAAGTCGATTTAGATTTTATTCTGAAAAGAAGGGTCAAATGCAGTAGACGTCTGAACGTTAAGGTTCTTATCATTTTTTAAAAAAACATATCAGGAAGAAGATGTCTGTTTAGAATTCCATATCTGATTATAATTGCCACTTCTTCGAAAATCGGATCGCAGGAGGATGGTATAGTGTGCGGTGGACTTTATGCACATGTTCACACCAATCCAAAATGATATACGAGCCCAACTATTAAAAGGATCCACCTCCTTTGACCGTTCTCGCATTCTAATGTAGGTCATTACTTCATGGCTATTCGATTCAAATGACCCTGTGTACTTGCATCAGTCGGTAATAATTAGCATTGCGATTACTACCTTCTAAAGAATTTTATAATAATATTGAATAAGAAAAGTCCAATCTTAATATCTTACATTGCAAAGACTGCTTATTTAATGAAAATAGATTTATAAGCCCACTTCTATTTTCCATAAACTCAATGTTTCCGTTATAGGAATAGCTGAAAAGACCGGCCAAAAGACCTTCGCTTATTTTCGATTCGAGCCCCGGCCAGCTCTGTTAAAAATCAGTTTTAATGTGTCCATAATGCCTTTTTTTTAATGAACATCGAGTTATCATGTCTCTTCAGAACAGAAGAAATAAAATACAGGTATTATGTGTTCTAAGAGTGAAACCGGATATTGATATAAAGTCTGTCTCAGTGTCTGAGAGAGATAATTTTATTCGGAACATGAATACATGAACATTTCTAGAGTATAATAGGTAAGATCAAATACATTTGGTATTATTTTCAAATTAGAAAATAATGGACTAGTATGGGCAAGGAAGCTGGAATGAGAAACCCTTTACAGCAATATGAATAACATAGACATTCATAGTTATTTGAAGACCCCTAGGCAACATTACAATATTAAAGATATGGGGATATCAAAGCGTTGTAAATCATTAATAATATATTTAGTTTTGGGGTCAAGTACTTAAATCTGTTTAAAATACCTATATGGTACTGGAGAAGTTTTGGTACAGATACTATCATTGCGTTCATTCCAATCTACTGTCAATATTTATACCTCAGAATTGTAACAAATTAGATGATTAATAATATTATTATCTAGGAAAACGACTATTATGTTATAATTTATTAATTTGTTTGAGAAAATCATATTTTTGTATTATGTGTAATACTACGTTATTAGAAATTAGCAACGAATTGTACTATGAAGTTAAGAATATTGTGTATTTCATTAAATGTGAATTAATACATTTATTAAAGCTATTAGGTAAGAAATAAATCAGTCGAGGATCAGATTATTCGTCATCATTAGGAGATAAAGCTTCAGATAACGATTTGTTGGTATGCGTTACGCACACTACTACTTGTAATGTCATGAACCAGAGCAAAATAACACCTATAGGAAATCTATTTATTCAGATGGTCATATCTCAGCCAATTGGGATTTCGACATTCGGACATATGCTCTTTCGGAAATTGAAGAAGAAAACAAAATTGATAAATTCTAAAAATAGATTTTTGATATCGTCGCATTTTACCACTCTATAGTCCATTCTTTTAAAAATGGCACTCCTCCCCACTCGGAAGAAAAAAAAATCATAAATAACGTGTAATAGCTACAAAACGCGGTTTGTGCTCTAAATTGTTCTGGAATAGATAGCTTATTCATAAAAATAAATAAGAACAAAATATCTAGCTCCTCATCCCACTCCTACCGCCTTTTTGTGTAAAATTCTCAATGTTCCTCTACAGGTATCCTACAACGGCTTGTTGATTCTGCTTATCATGATGAACATCTCAACTGGAGGTAATGACATGAACATCTTCCCTTTAGATTATAAACCATTCTGTCACGCTGCCAAAGCGCCAAATTGACAGATCTAGACGTATACAAATTGCAGGCCTTTCGTTTCTTCTATTTGGTCGCTGTTGTTGTGTTGTTGATGTTTTTCCTACACGTTGACGACTTTTCTTTTATTAAGCGTCCAGATTTTTACGGGGCAAATCAATTAAAAATAATCATGTTTTACGACATTCTCAAAATGTTAAATGTTATTTGAAGTAAAGAATTCTGGGACAAAATATACCACTATTGATGATTAACAGCGCTTCAAAAGATCATCGTTTTAAATTGTTTACGTTTGACTTCGATATCAATCAAGATGGAAAAAAATAATGAATTGTTGTTCATGTATATTTGTGTAAGTAGCATAATCTTTGTCGAAGTAACATCTGCGGAATATTTGAAGCTGATATTTTGAGGTATAATGCGTTGATTGGATTGCACATATTATATTCTTACAATTATAAATAGATGTGAGGTGAAGTCATAGCATTCTAATATGCCATGCATTATCATCTATTGTATCTATCATGAATTCATGGTTCAAGATTCATTGTATTCATTCAAGATTGATTAGCTTCATCTGATCAGGTCCAAATGAAAGATAATTTTTCTCTTTAAACATACTTATACATCAAAAAGTGGAAGTTACTAAATGTACATGTAAATTTCATTTAACCGCAATATTACACATGACTTTAAAAAAAAAAACTGCTTTTGACGAACTCTGTTCTATTACTTAACGCATGAGAGTGAGAACCTCACTTTCAAGAATTCATATTAGATATTATTTCGTTTGGAGTTAAATACACTCACAATTATTGTGGAATCCACTCCTTAGCAGTGGTTGAATGACTCTTTTAAAAGTGAGTTCCACTATTCTTGGCGCGGATTATACTCCAAAAGTAGAGTTTTTTCCGCCCCCCCCCCCCCACAAAAGGGTACTTTTCGCTCTACAAAGTCCGGCCCGAGAAGAAGAAAAAAAAGGGGTGTACATGTATTTGACTTTTCACCCGGATATTTCTATAAAAAGGGGGGTGTTTTTTTTCTCTATCTCTCTTTGGAATCCTGAGAAATTTAAAAAGTGGCTTATAAAATATCTTGAATATCATAGATAGGGGGGTGGTACATAGAGCATTGTTCCGGATTTATGGGGGATCTCCAAGGCAGAAAAAGTCCGCGAAAGGGGAGTTCAGAAATGTTGGAAGTCCTGAGATAGGGGATGCTTTCAAAGGGAGTGAACGAGCATACGTATACCCTAAATAGCACTGAGTGGGGGGGGGGGGGGGGGGGGGGGATCCTAGCTCATTTTTTCCTGAATGAGGTGTCATATGAAAGGGCAGAAACTCAACTTTCTAGAAATGTGATTTTCTCTTTCAAATTCAGATACCGCCCGCCAAACGACTTTTCGGCTTCGTCTCTCCAAATTGATTTTAATCACTCATGCGTGAAATATGCATTATTATGAGTTGCATCAAATGAAAGAGGAGGATCTAAGCTTTCCAAATATAATATGCTTGAATATTAGCTGCAAGTTTAATAACAGTCGACTACATTAAATATCATAAGTTATATTCATAATGAATCTTAACGTTATACTCTCCACAAGTGACACTGATAGTCTAGGACTGTGGTTACAGCCCAGTTGACCGAAGGCCCGCGAGACCGAAAACCATTTGAGTGCAGTTATACGACATATTATTTGCGCGCACACATTTGGCTTTTGGCTGTCATTTTTGTGAGCGTATAGCTTGATGTTTATGATCCCTTCACCCAATAATGACATTTTTTAATGTTTTTTTTTAGTATTTAAAAATACATTTTGGGTGATATTGGCTGCCAAAAAATGCAGAAATAACCCATCTGTTTAGCTAAAAGACCAATATTAAAGTGCAACTTTTTATCACGCTTAAATTTACTTCCCTTGATTCAGACGTCGATTGCAGAAAAGTCAAGACATTTCCTCAAAATATTATTAGTGGATCTCGTTACCTATTATGTTACGCAATAACACGCTGACAAATTTTATGATGCCCGTCAAATATTGTTAAGGTGCTGATTATTGGAAGAACCTATTTTTATTTGAAACCTGAAGATTCCCCCCCCCCCCCGAAACTTCCAGGAAGTGTGGGCCTCTTTGACCATCCAAAACAAAAAATAGTACTCATTCTATCTCCCTTTATTTCTATCTTGGTTAGAGTGTAGAACTATGGTTGATGCATTCCACCACATTACTGTTCTTGTAATCCCTCCAGACGATTTCCAATCAATTTTGTTTGGCCCGGAATGTCGAAAATTATGACTACCGATATTTCGTTTAGTAGGGGGGGGGGGGGGGGGTAACGTCAGTTTATTTATTTGGTCACCTTTAAGTAATTTTTATTTTTATTTTTTTAATAAAAAAACAAAATTCGAAGGGTTTTTTTCCTACAAAACACACACATAAAAAACAAAACAACTGACGGGGAGGGTTCAACCCCCCCCCCCCCCCCGCCTCGCACGCGCCTGGCTGCAATGGTGTATGCAAAAAACGTGTAGTGATAAATTTGTGTGCACTAGGGTCTTTATAACTATTTATTTATTTCCTTATGAGCAAGACATAAAATGATACATATTTTGTCAACCATAAGCAGCCGGAATACGGCCCACATAGATATACATGTAGCTTATGGCACATTATTTACACATGCGATCTGGCGGACCTTTGGTCTCGGGGAACATTTTTCATATTTACGGGCTTACGGGCCTTTGGTCAACTGGTCAGACCCCAAGAATCTAATGATCTAATCCTGCTTGTAGTTGTCAGCTTAAAAAAAAGACCAAAATGTGCCACAACTAGTATGATGCAAGTTTCTCAGACACCAAAACAAAAGTTCAAGAGCGCCATTGCATAACAGCCAGAACGACTAGTCATGTACAAAATATATATTTTTTTAATATAATGTTTATCAAACTAGTGTAATACTTATCAATACGTTTAGTTTTGTCATATTTTCATATCCCGAGAGGGGGTCGATAGAGTTCATAAATACTATACTATACAATACTATTTCATACTATACTATCCTATACTATACTATATGTTACGTCAGGCGCGTACGCAGGGGGGTGGTTTTGGGGTTAACCCCCCCCCCCCCCCTCGAGTTTTTTTTATGTGTATGTTTTTTGTATGTTATTTTGGAAAACCCCTCCCCTTTTTATTGTTTTTTTATTTTTATTTTTTTTAATAAATAATTAAAAATAAAAAATAAAAAAATTGCCAATAGGTGACCTTTAAAAGGTGACCTTACCCCCCCCCCCCCCCCAACTGGACAAAATGTCAAATTTTCAAATTTCGAGACCCCCCCCCCCAAAAAAAAAAGTGTCCTCTTACCCCCCCCCCCCCCCCCCCCCCCCCCCCCCCCCCCCCCCCCCCCCTTTATTCAGCGGCTGGCTGAGTCGTTGCGAAATTTTGGGCCCGATTTGAAAACCCTCCCCTTGAAAAAATCCTGCGTACGCCACTGTGTTACGTAATATATGCTTGCAATGAGACAACTATGTTCAGATATATTTCGTTTCAGTGGAAAAGTGTATCAAAATAAAATGTGTAATCCGTGTTCTTTTGTATAATGACTTACACCTGTGATGGAGTAGAAAGTAAATTCTCGAGAAGTCGTATCGTGATTACATTAATTCATGTTTCAACACAACCGATCACGGGTGGCAACATTTAATATGAAGCGGGCTAAATTAACATGTTATACAAAGAAAATACATTAAAACAGTTAAAGAGCATAAGCGATTTATTTAACTGACATGATTGGGAATTAATGAGCAATAACTTTAAGTAGGAATACAGTTTTAAAAGAGCCTTAAGGAGAAATGCAAAACAGATCAGTTAGATTGTGTATTGTTATCAAGACACATAACAATATGAATCATCTGTTGAGAGCCAAAAGGGCATTATCTAAACGGTATATGAGAACAACGCCCTTCTGTTTCACAACAGACGAAAAATGGATGTCATAATGTTCGTTAATACTTGTGATGGTGGGGAATGAGAGTAGAGGGGTCATCAAAACGGGCTTAGAGGTCAAGCTCAGAGAGAAAAAAATCCAAGTAAATATTGGGCCATGCACCTGTGTGAACACGAGAAAAGGACAAGAGAGATGAGTGAATGGAGGAGGGGGGGGGGGGGGGAGAGTTCAGGTTTATTTAGCGTTTAAAACAGTCAAAATAAACAATTCATGTATAGGCTCTACATGAATGAATGAATGAATGAGGCCCTTAGCGGAGGTGCCCAAACATCATACCATATTGCCTCAATATGACTTACTCCCTATGTACGAATGCTAACAAACAAATGTGGGTGAGAAAAAAGAGAAAAAGTACATTCATTCACTATAATTCAGGTATAGTGATGTGTTCAGGGTTAAAGTTCATAATTCGTTTTTTGGGTGCAGGAAATTACCGCGGGGGAAATCTTCAAACGAGCAAAATGTCGTACAGAAAGCTAGATTTCATGAGAACGATCTTCTAGACAACCCCTGAAGAAGATGCGACATTCCTTTCGATCTGTCTATCCAATTATGTGGAGTGATTTTGACATACTCCTTGACAGTTGTTTGTGGCGTTTCAGGCAGCTGAACTTTCAGTGTCAATCGTCTTACCATTCATATTAAATAGGGTAGATTACAAAAACATCATTTTGTTCACCGCCCCCTTTCCCTTCCATCTCCTCAAGCCTCTCACCCCCCTCCCCCTCCCTCCCCCCTCTCTCTCTCTCCGTCTTTGGCTATATTTTTTACCTCTGCTTTACCTCAAGCAGAACTGTAATATTTAGGAACTTTGTTTGAAAAAATTATGTTGAATTATGTTCCCTTATTCTTTTTTGTCTTTCTTTTGTCCCAATTGTCTCTCCGCTTTTTTATATTAAATTTCTTCTACGTCGATTTTATTCTTGTTTGTGTTTTGTCATGCTTTATAAACTTTACTGGCATAAGTCAATAAATACTTTGATAGTTTTCGAAGCGAAAGACCTAGATGGCATTTATTCAAAATATTACAATATCCTTTTGCAAAGAGATATTTCCATCATTCCCCCCCCCCAACTCCCAATAAGCGCATTTGGTCTAGCAAGTGATAATTTTCGGCAAGCAAAGGCGTATCAAGAGATTGTACAGGATTGTACAATCTTCAACAGACTGGTAAGGACGGTGGGGAGGGGGTGGGGGGGGGGGGGGGGGGGGGGGGGGGGGGGGGAGGTAATATAGCAGGGGAGACCTGTGCTCCCGCACGGGTCTTCAAATGAAAGGCCTTCCCCTGCTAAATTCTAACAGGGACCTATACCACGCATACTTATGTCACTGTGTTAATGCCCGTAATAAAATCTTTATCAGGCATTACATCTTGAATTGAGACTAATATAGGCAGGCACGTAGCCACGGTTGGGGGGGGGGGGGGGGGGGCACGTGCCCCTTCAAAATTTCCAAGATCGGTTGAACTTTTTTAGACCCCTTTTTTTACCTCGATCGATTACATGTAGGTGTCCCCCCCCCCCCCCCCCAAACATCAAACTCGGCTCACTCTGGCTACGTGCCTGAGTATAGGACATTTAAGTTGATGCAGAAACGGATTATATTGTGCTGATCAATATCAAGTGAAAATCACATAATTGTTATAAAGTTTAGGGTTTTCCTGACGCTAATAAGCGAGTCTCGAGCAAAAATCATTCGTACTAAAGATCGTAAGCGTACAAACAGAATTTCACCTAAGGGCTTCTGTCTTTTGCATGTGTATATACATTTTCAAGTTTATAAATTGTGCGATCCAGCGAAGCGAGCGACAAATAAACACTTTTTTGTTGTTTTTGTTATATAAATGCGTGAAAATATACCACCTCGCTGCCCGGAAACGATATGACGGTTGTCCAAATAATAGATATTTAACCCCCCCTTAATCCCCCCCCCACCCCGCTCGCCTCGTACGCATCCGTGCTTTAAATAATTAAAAATGTAAGTAACTTACGATAGATTGCCTCTGTCATCTATATAGCTACTACGATAGAGTCCATCCCATTCTTCTCTGATCTCTCCGATGTAGACAAGAGTAACATTGTAGGATCGTCCTTGCACAAGTCGTTTAGTAAGCAATATACGAAGAAAGGAATACCGACTCTCGTACGACGTCGAATCATACAAGTTGTCGCCGCCTCCGTTCTCGGCATCGACCACGGTGATTGAAATCACCGTCAAGTTGCTGAGATGAAGCACGATTTCGTCGGTGGTGTTGTCGCATCGTATTCGAATGGCCACACGACCGTCGAACGTGAACCGTCTTTTGTTCGTCCCCTCGACGTCCTCGTCGTTGAGGTAGGGCTTGATATAGAGATCGTAGGAGTCGGGGATGACATTAGTAGGTAGTCTGCCCTTCCATGGTCCCGGGTCGTCTTCTGCAGGCGGGTAGGTCAAGAATCTATTCTGCGGAGTGGACGGTGGTCGATCTGCCCCTTCATTGTCCATGTCGTTGATGTCACCTTTGTCGTCAGCATCATGATCGTTCATGAGAGCTGCGTGTTTGCGGTCGCATTCCCGCTTGGTCTCGTAGAAACACAGAAGGCCTACCATGATGACAATGGCGGCGAATACCACAACCACCGCCACTGCCTTGGTCCTGCTCAATGATACCCGTCCGCTCTTTTTCGACTTCAAATCGGCGTCCATTTCGAAGTCGCACTTGGTTATCTCACCATCAACTGATGTTAGTTTCTCTGTCGCCATATCTTTCTAATCCTGTCTTGATCTTGGCCAGGTGATATAGGTGAACAGACCAGTTTAGACTTTGTGACTATGCGCGAGTAAGAATTTAATAAAATTGGTGGGTCTAATAACCGCCTGGATTTTGTCTTAAATACACGGCTAATGCCATGAACTGTAATTTCCGTACTGACCTCAAGTGCGCATGTGTATTATCCTACTAAATCAGGGCTCGGTCTATATATTCCCACCGGAATATCGGAAGACGCTGAAGGGAAACGAAAATAAAACAAAAAGCAAAATCTAGCCACCGATTTCCTATTCTCATGATCATGATACAGCTCCAGTGGCGTATTCGGATTTTGAAATAGAACTGGGGAGGGGCGTGCCTTTGAAGCGCCAAATGTTGTGTGCGCGTTATCTTCTAATTGAAAGTCAAAGGGGTGCCAGCGGTTTCAAGATAATGAGGGTTAGCTAATCAGTGAAAATGATTGTCTAACTCTCAGTTGAAGAAAAAAATGATGCAAAATGTAGAGTCGTTTTGCTCCTTCGTTTAAGTGGATGCATTTCCTTAATCGGCGACGATCCTGGAAACTACAGCCGCATGTTGACTCCATGAAACACTTTATGAATTATATATGCTCTTCCTTAGAAACCTTGAACATCGACAAAATCCTGTTCACACCCTTGATTTAAACTAGGTCCATGTGTTAAAGCTGTTGCAGATATACGCCAAGGTCCACGTAAGAGGGAGAAACAACGTAAAACTATATATATACTAGAAATACTTCACACAAAAAGGTTTAGCATATGAAGTGATTTGATCTATTGGCCTATCGGACGCAATCCGAAGGATGTGAAAACTAGTTTTGCAGCAAGAACTCCTGAATGGCATTGCACTGCCCGTGTTCGACACAACCATCAGCATTGAAAACCCAATACCGTTAAAAGAGCCGTGAAACGGTGAATAGACATGTGAAAACTAGTAGAGACCTTATTGATAGTTGCTGTGCAGAGAGTACCACGCATCTTACTACATGTACTGCATCCCTCCACCCTCCTTCATTCTCCTCTTACCACAAGCGCTGGAGGCGGGCAAATGTTTGGTCTGTCTCGGAAAATGAATGGGAAAGTGTTCCAGATAAACATTTGTCGACATAACCGAGAAGCTGAGTAAAGCGAACTGTCAACCCATGCAGTTCTCAGAGTGTTTTTCGTTAAGTCGGATATCCACTGTCGGATTAAAGGGGGTGGGGAAGGAGGTAGGAAAGAGGGAGCAGTTACCCTTTAAAATCTATCTTGCATTTCCCCAAGTACAAACGCACACAATTTTTGCTCGCTCGTTTGTCAGAGATTTTGTTCGGCATTGTACCTTAACCCCCAACCTTTTACGGAAGCCAGGGTCCATCCCGCGCTTCGCTATTTGCTATTTGCCTTTGGTTTTCTTCGGGGAGGCTCTTCTGAAATAAGAGAAGGATGATTTTTTCAGAAGTGAGGGGCAGATAACCCTTGTAAAATTCATAGCGAAGATATAAACATGCAAGAAGGGGGGGGGGGGTGGTATGGCAGATTGTAAAGATCAATCACGCAATAAAATACATTAATGATCAAATAAATGGATTCATAAATCGTTTATTTTGCGTATCTATGTCAAGAGAATCATCTTATACCATAGCGATGTTGTGATCTAGCGGATAAATCTCCGGATTGTAAACCATAAGATATGGGGTTCGAATCCCTAACGCAGCACAAACGTCCTTTAGCAAGACATTAATCTACATTTGCAATACTCGATCTGTTATATGTGATATTCGCTATACAGGAACAGCATTATTATCATATCATTACTATGCAAAGCATTCAAAGTTTCTCAAAAAATATTGACCTATATATCGAACCATGCGCGGACCCAGGGGGGGGGGGGAGCGGGCGATGCACCCTGCCCCCCCCCCCAAAAAAAAAAGACGGGGCAAAAAATAAAAAAGGAAAAAAAAATCGTTAAAAAAAACGCTCACTATGCGACCCCCCCCCCCCCCCCCCTCACTGGGCGAAATATCGGCCGGCACGATTTCCAAATTTCAGCACACTAAATTTCAAATGTTTTTGATGAAATGAAGCCACCGTTTCTCACTCAACTTCAAAATGGTAAATATGAGGCTTCGGCGGGGGTGGGGAAGGGCGGATACACAGGGCTTTATTTATCCTCCAAAAAGTATGTACTTATATTCCTACTATCCTACTATTGGTATCTAGGAGGTTAATTTTCAAATCATATCGTAGCACAAACTGTAAATAAACTAAGATATTCTTTGACGTTCTTGTGATTCCCATAGGCACACAGAGATATTTGATTACTATGAATGGTATTATAATAACCAAATAAAATTCAAACGTGGTTATTTTCTAATGACCAAATTAGTACTCTATGCTAATGAATAATCAACATAACGAAAAAAAGTATGCCATAGCTTTGAGCCAAGATGTGCCAAGATGTGAGCCTTATCGTCAATATCCCCCCTTATGCAGTGGCGGATCCAGAGGGGCCGAAACGGCCGCGGCCCCCCTATTGGCGGCGCAACAAAAGGAAAAAAAGAGGAAGAAAAGAAGAGAAAAGGAGAAGAGAAAAGAAAGGAGAGGAGAAAAGAAAAGAGAAGAGAAAAGAAAGAAGAGAAAAGAAGCAGAAAGAGAGAAAAAAAAGGAGAAAAGAAAAAGAAGAAAGCTCCCCCCCCCCCCCTCCCTCCCTCCCACTCCGGGAATCTCCGATAAAGGGTAACTTTTCACGCGCAACAGTCCGGCCCGTAATACACAAAATCCGGCCCGTGCTGACTTTACACACTGGAGAGTGGTGCTTTCAAAGAGAGGGAACATATGGTGGCCCTGAAGGGACATCGCGAATAGACTAAATCGTGAAAAATATGCGATAAAATTCACGATATCGTCAATTTTATCGCATATTTTTCACGAAGAAATTCACGAAATTGACGATATCGTGAACTTTATCGTGAACTTTTCACGATGAAATTGACGATATCGTGAATTTTATCGTGAAAAGTTCACGATATAAAGTTCACGATATCGTCAATTTTATCGTGTACTCTATCGTGTACTCTCCTGACGGGCGCTTCGTAAACAAAACCAGCCCTAGCTGGGGGAGACAGAGAGAAGGAAAAAAGGAAAGGGAAAGAGAAGATAAAAGGAAAGAAAGAATAATAAGAAGAAAAGAGGGAAACGGGGGGGGGGGGGCGAAGGGCTCTTGCCTCCTCCTCACTCACCCCCCCCCCCCCCCCCCCTCCCCGCAAAAAAATAAATCAGAGAGAGAGAGAGAAGGGAAAGGGAAAGGGAAAGAGAAGATAAAAGGAAAGAAAGAAGAGGAAGAAGAAGAAAAGAGGGAAACGGGGGCAAAGGGCTTTTGCCTCGTCCCCCGCCCCCCGCCAAAAAATAAATAAGAGAGAGAGAGAGAAGGAAAGGGAAAGAGAAGAAAGAAAGAGAAAAACGAAAAAGAGGAGAATAGGAAAGAAAGGAAAAGAAAGAAAGAAAGGAGGCAAGAGCCCTTCGCCCCTGTTTCCCTCTTTTCTTATTCTTTTTCCTCTTCTTTCTTTCCTTTTATATTTTCTTTCCCTCCCCTTCTCTTTCCCTTTATGGCGGGAGGGGGGAGGGGGTAAGAGCCTTTCGCCCTTCCCCCGTTTCCCTCTTTCCGTCTTCTTCTTCTTTCTTTCCTTTTATATTTTCTTTCCCTTTCCCTTTCCCTTCTCTCTATCTCTCTCTCTCTCTCCTATTTATTTGTTGGCGCGGGAGGGGGGAGGAGGCAAGAGCCCCTCTTTTCTTCTTATTCTTCTTCCTTTCCTTTTTTATTCTCTTTCCCTTCCTCTCTTATTTATTTTTTGGGCGGGGGATGCAAGATCCCTTCGCCCCCGTTTCCCTCTTTTCTTCTTCTTCTTCCTCTTCTTTCTTTCCTTTTATCTTCTCTTTCCCTTTCCCTTTCCCTTCTCTCTCTATCTCTTATTTATTTTTTTGGCGGGGGTGGGGAAGGGCGGATACACAGGGCTTTATTTATCCTCCAAAAAGTATGTACTTATATTCCTACTATCCTACTATTGGTATCTAGGAGGTTAATTTTCAAATCATATCGTAGCACAAACTGTAAATAAACTAAGATATTCTTTGACGTTCTTGTGATTCCCATAGGCACACAGAGATATTTGATTACTATGAATGGTATTATAATAACCAAATAAAATTCAAACGTGGTTATTTTCTAATGACCAAATTAGTACTCTATGCTAATGAATAATCAACATAACGAAAAAAAGTATGCCATAGCTTTGAGCCAAGATGTGCCAAGATGTGAGCCTTATCGTCAATATCCCCCCTTATGCAGTGGCGGATCCAGAGGGGCCGAAACGGCCGCGGCCCCCCTATTGGCGGCGCAACAAAAGGAAAAAAAGAGGAAGAAAAGAAGAGAAAAGGAGAAGAGAAAAGAAAGGAGAGGAGAAAAGAAAAGAGAAGAGAAAAGAAAGAAGAGAAAAGAAGCAGAAAGAGAGAAAAAAAAGGAGAAAAAAGAAAAGAAGAAAGCTCCCCCCCCCCCCCCCCCCCCTCCCCCTCCCTCCCACTCCGGGAATCTCCGATAAAGGGTAACTTTTCACGCAACAAAGTCCGGCCCGTAATACACAAAATCCGGCCCGTGCTGACTTTACACACTGGAGAGTGGTGCTTTCAAAGAGAGGGAACATATGGTGGCCCTGAAGGGACATCGCGAATAGACTAAATCGTGAAAAATATGCGATAAAATTCACGATATCGTCAATTTTATCGCATATTTTTCACGAAGAAATTCACGAAATTGACGATATCGTGAACTTTATCGTGAACTTTTCACGATGAAATTGACGATATCGTGAATTTTATCGTGAAAAGTTCACGATATAAAGTTCACGATATCGTCAATTTTATCGTGTACTCTATCGTGTACTCTCCTGACGGGCGCTTCGTAAAACAAAACCAGCCCTAGCTGGGGAGACAGAGAGAAGGAAAAAAGGGAAAGGGAAAGAGAAGATAAAAGGAAAGAAAGAATAATAAGAAGAAAAGAGGGAAACGGGGGGGGGGCGAAGGGCTCTTGCCTCCTCCTCACTCCCCCCCCCCCTCCCCGCCAAAAAAATAAATCAGAGAGAGAGAGAGAAGGGAAAGGGAAAGGGAAAGAGAAGATAAAAGGAAAGAAAGAAGAGGAAGAAGAAGAAAAGAGGGAAACGGGGGCAAAGGGCTTTTGCCTCGTCCCCCGCCCCCCGCCAAAAATAAATAAGAGAGAGAGAGAGAAGGAAAGGGAAAGAGAAGAAAGAAAGAGAAAAACGAAAAAGAGGGAGAATAGGAAAGAAAGGAAAAGAAAGAAAAGAAAGGAGGCAAGAGCCCTTCGCCCCTGTTTCCCTCTTTTCTTATTCTTTTTCCTCTTCTTTCTTTCCTTTTATATTTTCTTTCCCTCTCCCTTCTCTTTCCCTTTATGGCGGGAGGGGGGAGGGGGAGTAAGAGCCTTTCGCCCTTCCCCCGTTTCCCTCTTTCCGTCTTCTTCTTCTTTCTTTCCTTTTATATTTTCTTTCCCTTTCCCTTTCCCTTCTCTCTATCTCTCTCTCTCTCTCCTATTTATTTGTTGGCGCGGGAGGGGAGGAGGCAAGAGCCCCTCTTTTCTTCTTATTCTTCTTCCTTTCCTTTTTTATTCTCTTTCCCTTCCTCTCTTATTTATTTTTTGGGCGGGGATGCAAGATCCCTTCGCCCCCGTTTCCCTCTTTTCTTCTTCTTCTTCCTCTTCTTTCTTTCCTTTTATCTTCTCTTTCCCTTTCCCTTTCCCTTCTCTCTCTATCTCTTATTTATTTTTTTGGCGGGGGTGGGGAGGGAGGAGGCAAGAGCCCTTCGCCCTTCCCCCGTTTTCCTCTTTCCTTCTTATTCCTCTTCTTTCTTTCCTTTTATATTTTCTTTCCCTTTCCCTTCTCTCTCTTATTTATTTTTGGCGGGGGGGGGGAGGAGGCAAGAGCCCTTCGCCCTTCCCCTGTTTCCCTCTTATTCCTCTTCTTTCTTTCCCTTTCCCTTCTCTCTCTCTCTCTCTCTCTCTCTCTTATTTATTTTTTTTGGCGGGGGGGGGGGGGGAGGTAAGAGCCTTTCGCCCTTCCCCGTTTCCCTCTTTCCT